ACAAATTATGGAGGGGGAGGGGGTTAAATTTACAATTTGTCCAAAAATTGATTACGTAATATGTGAACGACACCTAATTAAATTACCGGACTTTACTTAATTGGACATTAATTGGACGCTTGAGGCCTTAGCGTTCATTTTAATGTCCGTTCAAATAAAGTCTGTCTAACTCTAAGTCAAAACTCGTTGAAATTATTTTCCCAAACGACAAACGTATTGTCCAGGATAATGATATGACTACTTTTTAATTTCGGTCAATTTCAATTTATTTCATTAAATAATATCAACATTTTTACTGCTTTACGACTGATTTTCTTGCTTTCTGTATTAAAAATCGATTGATTATTTGAGGTAAATGAGATTTATAATGTTATAGGTGTCAGGTGATAAGTCAATAATCATAGAGTAAGTTATAAATGAGATTTCTAATGTAGAATTTGTAGATTGTAGGTGTCACAATAGTCACATACAATAAAACCCCGATTTACCGCGGAGTTTCAGGGGAAGGACAAGATTATTAAAATGGGAAATAATTTTAATGGAAAACGATTTAAAAGGGAAACATTTAAATTGCAGATGTGGTTACGTCTTAGCTGAATCATTTTAATAAGGCAAAATTCCCGGCTTGGGATAGCAAGCGGTTAGTTCCAGACAATTATATTAGCAATTTGACCAAAACCCATAATCATGGGTAGAGTGAACCGCTGCCAGTGTCTCTCTTTTCCAAACAAAAGAAAATGATATTAATTTGAGGAACCGTCCGCAAATGCAAATTGATACCGAGAATGAAATCGGTCGCTCGCTTTTCCCATTCAATAAGCTTTATTACAATACGTAAGCCGTGAATGAATGGGAAACGCGAGCGACCGATTTCATTCTCGGTATCAATTTGCATTTGCGGACGGTTCCTCAAATTAATATCATTTTCTTTTGTTTGGAAAAGAGAGACACTGGCAGCGGTTCACTCTACCCATGATTATGGGTTTTGGTCAAATATCATCTCTTTTTGATTATAATGTCAGGATAATTTACACAGTCGAAACTTAATAAGGAGGTAATTTCAACGATTTCGAAATTTTACCTTTGAAAACGTTTCCTTGTGTTTAGGTAGGCATATCTGTCAATAACAGACTGAATATAGCACTTTTTACTCATCCAAGTTGGCATTAAATTCATATATAATGCCATTTTAATATCGTGGGAAAGCAGAATATATTCGAAATCACGAATGAGCACAATTCTCACCTTTCGCACGTGCAAACTTCGAGCGGACGTTGCGTGCGCATAAAATATTGAATCACCATACATTTTTGCATATTGTTATTTAATATATAGTTTGATAAGCATGAAAAGTTTCAGAAGATTTCAAAAAGAACTTGGATCACAACGGGACTCCAAAGTTGGTAAAAATCGTGAAAATAACAATTTTTAGTGATTTTAGCTATTTTAAATGAATTTGGGCGTGTCCCCACGTGTGCAACTTTTCGATTTTCAACTTTAAAACTAGCCTATAACACAATTTAGACCTTTAGGAAGCAAAATTGAGCTCCACAACCCAAGGGATGGCCCAACACCAGAGAATACTAATTCACAACTTTTGTGTTTTTATAAAATTATTCTTCAAAAAAGCACAAACTTCAATAGCGAATATCTTTATGAAGGAGCAAGGTAGGAAAACTTTCCGGTAGATTTTCAGAATGCTTGAACAATTATCTAAGATAAAAATGTCCTCAGATTTTGAATAAATTTACTTCTTAATGCTTTAAAATCAATTTGAAAAGTTGTTATTTTGTCAAAAATCAAGTTTTAAAAACATTTAAATTGATGACGTCATCAAGTGATGATGATGACGATAAATTATTTTTCGATATAATGTAAACTAAAGTATAAACAATTATCTTTAAAACCTGTGGTTCGAAATGACTGTATCTTTTATACTTTTGAATCTACGGACACTTAAATGTAGGCTACAATTTACTGCAAAAGCGTCTATACATATTATATATATATATAGCTTCACGACAATCTGTTGTAAAACAGGGGTTCCAGAAAACCCACTTCCCGATACTCCTGCAACATGAAATTTTTTTTACAGTCGATTTGGACAAGGTATAGACGCTCTGCAAAGTTTCAGATCTCTAACTCAATTTTAACATGGTTTTTAAGGCACCTGAATATGGCGATTTTGGGTTTTTTACCTAATTTCGTATAACATGCTGGCGCGTATTTTGCGCAAATTTCTTAAAAACCTCCACATAACTATTTCTTATTCCTGTCATCTTTAACATTGAATTAGAATGTTTTGAACTTAAATATACCTGCTGAACTACTTTCGATGAGTCTTAATGCCTGGAAAACAATAAAGGGGATATAATAGTATAGGGGGTACATAGTGTTGTGAATATAAGGGCAACGGTTATGCTTGCCAGCATTGTGATAGCTTATCAATTAATAGTATTTATATCCTTTGAGTCGGTTGATTCTGTAGACAAAGCTGAGGTGATCGATAAATGATGATTAAATGAGTGATGTCTTCTGGTAAATTTAAAATAAATTCATTGTTAACAAAGCTATATTCATTCGCGAGAAACTCAAAAGATAAACCTATATTGATGTTATCATTAAGAAGTTCAGGTCCGAGCCTTCTTGCACGGAATTTTTGTTAAATCGATTAATAATGATACATCAGAATACAAAAAATAACTCAATATCATTACCAAAGTATTTTGCAATAGCAAACAGCTACTTAATCTTACTTGGATATGTCGTGTAAAATGCCATACAGAATACTGCAGGAAATCCTTTTTTCTTGGAAGGAGTCCTTCCAACAGTCAGACGATCCAGAAGATAGTCAGTTTCAACCTGCTATTCCTTTATAGCACGAAAATACTCTTGAACATCCGAGTCATGTGTCCACTGACAAATGCAAATGCTTATGATGGTCGTTTCAAGACTATACTAATTAAAACCTATTTGAATACAATTACAAATATTTGTTAGTCCAAGAGTTGAACTCTGCTGAGAAAATAATCTCCTGCAGAGCACAATTCTAGGAGTGAGGTGAGAAACTAAGCGAGTTAATTTTCCGAGCCACGACTTGAAAAATCGTAATCGACAATTTTGTCTCCTTTTTGCCGTAATTATTGTCTTTGAAAAAATGTCTTTAGTCACAAAAGTACCATTACCGAAGCATAGAGCTGGGGATAATTTTCCAAAAAACGTTCATGCAGATGAAAATTGTTCACAATTTTGAACTAATGATTACTTTTAGATTTATTGTAAAATAGATGATCATGAATCATGATCGTAATAGTTATATGAAGAAGCCATTATTATATATAGTACTAAGAAAATTACTAAGACATTACTGTACAAGTTCGGCTCTTTGTGGGTGACAGATAGTAACGTTACGCTTATGCAAGCACTCGTACATAACCAATAACAACGTCTCGGTTGATGCGGCTAGGGACCATTATTCAACATTTGCTAGATGTGAGTGTGACCACTGACCACGTGCCATACCTTCGTCCCAGACAATTAATAGAACGATTATTTTAAATGAAAGGTTAATTTAATCTATAAAGCAGACCTATGAATGCAATTGACCACTCAAATCATGAAGTTTTACACTTTAATAGTTTCACTTTGGTTTTATTTCATTATTTCTTAATTATTATCTTGAAAGATTTTTTCGAGGAAATTTTAAAAATTAGTTATGTTTTATAATTTCTCTTCATCATCTATCTATGTACTGTAGAGTGTAGTATATTTCCTTCATATATAAGCCCGATCGTTAGCTGAGAACTAGAGTCGTTGTTTACAATTACTGAGATTCGGCAGATCGAGAGACCGGTGCCATCTGATAAGCCGCTCACGCGCTTTACTTAGCTTATAATAACACCTATGACCTTCAAGTGCATTTTAAAGCAATTTGCTCTGCTCTTGAGTATGATAATTATAACCAGTTTTATCGTGTTCAGCATCCTCGAAAACGTAGGGTTACATGATTTTCGCTTCGATATTCATTAACAACAAATCCTTCTATCTTCCAATTTCTGGCCCGGCTGCCTGCTAGGTTTCAGAAGGAGATACCAGAGTCCAAATCAAGATGCTGCAATAATTGGGCAGCTGCTATAATTGGATCCAATTACACGCGATACACTACATTATCTTATGTAAAGCCTGATCAAGTAACTTCAGCTCTGGTGACGTCACAAAATATCCTAGTCGGCATACGACACGTTACGAATGTGATCGCTTGCCCGAGGATTTACGAATCAAGGTCACGCGATAGGATCAGCGGTCACGTGATAGGACTGACTGTCATGATTTGATGATTTGAAACTTTTACAAATAGTACATTATACAATACAGCAAAGAGAATTAAAAATATACGACATTATTATCATGAGGCATTTTGTTGGGTAAAAGTTGTAGTCCATATTGTATAAATACTAAAAGCATGGTTAAATGGTACAAGTTCTGGGGGTATACGTATTACAAGTTTACCTTTGCGTGTGTACTTGTACATTACTATACAAGTACACTATGGGGGATGACCCAACTTTGACCCGATCCCAGGAGTTGATTAAGGAGTTCAACTATGATCAACAGGAAGATGTAGAAGGCTGTGTTGCACGCTGGTCCATTCAGTTAGAAAAATACCTACATATGGACTACCGTGAAATTGACTACGATAGTCGTGAAAAGATCAAGACTAAGGATAAACAGACTCTGTCTGGCTGGATTGTGGATGCAGTGGACCTTGTTCGTCGGCAGAGTAGTCAGATGTATCTCTTGAAGGAGATCATCGAGTGCTTCAAGACGGAAGCACTAGCAGACAAAGAAAAGGTGATCAGACTGCAGGGCCAGCTGCTGATGCAGAAGGACGAACAACTACAGTTGCTTAAGACGTCTGTTGAGGAGACAGTCCAAACAACGGTGGAGTCAGGGATTCAGAACTATAGTGCAGCTGTTCAACAGAACACTGACTTACTGACTTAAGTCGGCTTCTTGGTCCGAGCAACTACAATTCCTCGCCACACGTCGCGGTCAAGCATAACAGATCTTATCTCTTCAACACAGGAAAGGCTGGTGTCCTTCTTTAGCATGTCCAGAAACGTAAGGTGGGGCCTCCCCGGTCTCCTGTATCCATGCTGAGGGTCCCAGAACAGAAGTTGGTTTGCCAGAAGGTCGTCATGCCTGGCTACATGTCCAGCCAGTCTCATTCTTCTGGAGGCTATCATCGCTGATGGCTTGGGGATGTTGCCGTATAAATCACTGTTGTTGATGATTTGTGGCCAACGTATGTTCAAGGCCATCCGGAGCATTCTAGTGTAGCATCCATTGATCCGCTTAGTCATGGATTGGCTTATCGTCCAAGCTTCAGAGCCGTACAGGAGTACGGGCTCAACCGTTGCTCGAAAGACACGGATCTTTAAGTCCCTGCGCATTCCAGACTTCCAGGTTGTCTTTAACTGATGACAGGCCCCCCATGCCTTTGCTTTCCTAACATCAAAGTCCTTCTCCGCACTCATTATTCTGCTTCCAAGGTAGACAAAGTCATCTACTTGCTCTATCTCCTGCCCACTTGCTGCTTTAATGACGGTAGAGTCAGACTCAGAGAGATTGACTCTGATGTACTTCGTCTTACTCTCGTTGAGGTGCAGTCCAACGGAGTTAGCAGCCAGCTCCACACTGAGGAGAAGATCTTGCGCTTGCTCTGCGGTGTCTGTTGTCAGTGCAAGATCGTCAGCAAAGTCGACATCTGTCATCTTAACTGCTGGGTATCTCCTGCTTCTTCTGGGGTTGACAGTGAAGCCCAGATCTTTGCCTCCAAGTGCTGTTGTCATCACATAGTCAATGACAATCACGAAGAGGTAGGGCGCCAGTGTATCTCCCTGCATAACTCCAGCAAGTATAAGGAAAGCTTCAGTCAGACCATCCTCCGTGATGACTCGTGCCATGGTGTCCTTGTACATAGCATCTATCAGCCTAACAATGGGCTCTGGTATCCCATATGCCAGGAGTATCTTCATCAATATACCCCTATGAATGCTATCAAAGGCCTTCTTAAAATCGATGAACAAGAGAAGGGCGGTCAGGTTTTTGTCTCTAGCCCCCTCCAAGATCCTCCTTAGACACAGAATGTGGCTGGTGGTACTGCGTCCCTCCCGAAATCCGTTTTGGTTGATCCTCAGGATTTTCTCCATCGCTGGTTTGATTCTGTTAAGGATCATACGATTCAGGGTCTTACTAACAATGGACGTAAGAGCGATTCCTCTGTAGTTATCCACTTTAGTTAGATTTCCTTTCTTTGGCACAGGCACGATGTTGAGTTGCCGCCATTGATCAGGGATTTTTCCATCAACCAGAGCGCTGTTACAGAACTCTAGAATCAGGTCGTCCATGTCCACTCTTTTGAGAATCTCTGGAGCTATGCCATCATCACCATAGGCCTTACCCTCCTTGATCTGCTTCCTCGCCTCCGCTAACTCCTCCCTGCAAAACAGACCAGTCTCTATATCCTGCTGGGGGTGGATGGTTTGGATAACTATTTCCTGGTCAGGTACAGATGGTGGTTGACCCAGGAGCTTAGTGAAGTGGTCCTTCCAGCTCTTCAATCTCCCCTCAGCACTACCTCCATCAACCAGGCTGCATGGCTTGCTTTTCCTGCCATTTATGTCATTAATAAGGTCCCAACTTTCCTTATTCTTGCACCTGTCAGCAGCATCCTCAGCCCGCCTGATCCGAGAAACAAGAGTCTCCTCCTCAACCTCTTTGTAGCTCACTGCAAGTGCATCCTTACACTCCTTAACTACCTCTCTACTCTCCTCTGTAGGATTCTCATGATATGCGTCTTTGGCCTGAAACAGAGTTCTCCTCCTCTCCGATACCCTAGGATCTTGGGAGGGGTTGTTACGTTGTCTTCTTGGGATGGGCTTAAGCAACTTATGATTGGTTGCTTTCACGGCATCCATAAGCTTTCCGTACTGAATCGTGGGATCGTTCTGCTCACTTGATTCTTCCTCCAGTAGCATAGAGAATCTGTTTTTCACCTCCACAGAATACAAGGCTTGCAACTCCTTATTCTCTTTGAGCAGTCTGTAGTCATATCTTACTACTCTAGGTGCATTCTGGCACTTTCGCAGGCTGAGTTTGACTGAACTAACTACTAGACGGTGGTCCGACCCAAGAGAGTTAAAAGAATTGGAGACAACAGTGTCCTTGACTGAGTTACGCCACTTCTTCCTTATCAGGATGTAATCAATCTGACTCTTGCTCAGGGTTCCGTCAGAGAGATACGTCCATAGTTTACTGGGACGTTTCTGGAATCGGTGGTTAGTTGCCTCAAGGTTTCCCTCCAACAAAGTATCCCTGAGAAGCGATCCGTTTCTGTTGGATACTCGATGCCAGTACCAACCTGAATCCTCCTCATTCAATCTGCTAAGATGGGCGTTAAAATCACCAACAACCATTAGCAGATGATGGGCTGGCACCTCTCCTAATGCAGATCTTAGTCCCTCGTGAAAGTCCTCTGCCTCTTCATTTGATGCTGCTTCAGTGGGACTGTACACCGTTATTACTGTAAGCCGTGGGTTTCCATCAAAGGATATGAGAAAAATTCGCTTCCCAAACGATTTCATGAGACTCACTGCTTTGTAGGCCTGCTTGGTCAGCATAAACCCAACTCCACCAGTAGCAGCTTGTCGGGTGTTTCTCCAAGCAGGTGTGGTCACCAGGTGCACACCCTTCTCAAAACTCTGGATCTTGATCTCCTCCTCATGCACAATCCGGTGCTCTTGTACCCCTAAAACTGCAACTCTACTATCAAGGAAGAGCGATGCTAACTCTATCCTCTTATACTGTTCCCTAACAGTACGAACGTTCAGTGTCCCGATGGACGTTTTCCTACTACACGACACAACGCTGCCACTATTACTGCTCTTCTTTTCCGGTTCTGTACTTATCCTGTTGTGTTGTGTTGGGTACGACAGTACATCATCGCCTGGCCCTCCCAGATTGGGTTTTAAGCCAACCAAGTCATAAAACTGCCGACCCTCCACAAGATTCGTGTTAGGGGCTTTAACCCTAGTGCTGTATAAATTCATCATAGTTGTTTTTCAAATAGCTAAATGACCCCATGGAGTCCCCTCCATGGTGGCAAATGGTCATTTCCCAAAGCCACGCTACCGGAACATTTGGGTTTGAACCGCAGGAACATCAACTTGAGTTGAAATTTTTATCAGACTTTAACCAATCGAACTGTCTGCTCAGGGTAAATGATGTGGTGAATTCTTCTTCTTCTTCTTCTTCTTCTCCGACACTACCCGAAGGTAGCCACTCCTGTCCCTGAGCTAGGGGGGCTAGGGTGTCAGCATAAGCTAAACTTTTGCAGGAGCTAGCCCTCTCCCTGACTGCCCGTTACCCCGGGTATGGGGGGTCATCCTTTCCACCAGAGCGTGGTCCAACCATTTGGGTCGTAGTGGAAAGTCAGAGGATATAATGACCAACACCTCCAGCTGATGCTCCGCACCTCTCTTCTTCAGAGGCTAGGAGTTCGAGAGACAACTGACGTTCCTATCTTGTCTCTCCGGGGGTCAGCTATCTACCCGTCGTCCATCCTGATTCTTGCCTGGAGTTCACCACCATCCATCGTCCAGTATCCAGTCTTCACCACGTGGAGGCATCAGGAGGACTTGTTGCAGAGAGGCTAAGGTCGACTTATTCGACTAGGTACTGACAGGGGGGCACTAGCGGGGTACCTCCGATTCACAGCCCTGGCTTTTATAGTGAGAGCACAGAACTGCTAGTCAGCGGTGATCTTTATGATCACCTACGCATCTACAACCATTGGAAGACCAAAACAACAGAACAGTGCAAGTGGTATAGGTACGGTCTGCAACAGTAAAATCCCGAAGAAGGTGATGAAGAGTGTGGCTGCAGAGGAGGACAGGAGCAAGAACCTGATCGTGTTTGGGCTGAAAGAAGAGGAGGAAGAACAGCTTCCAGCGCTAGTTACCGCAGTTTTGGAGGAGATCGGGGAGAAACCTCACTTCGAAGCGACTAGAGTCGGTTGGAAGAGGCCAGGTAGTACGGCTATCCGACCAGTCAAGATCACCGTCCCAAGCTCAACAGCGGTTCATCAGATTCTGATGAAAACAGGGAGACTGAGGGAGACGCACAAAGATGTATGGATATGTCCAGACAGATCCAGCGAAGAACGAGCAACAAGGAAGCATCTGGTCACTGACCTGAAGAAGAAGAGGGCGGAACAGACTCATCTCGACCACTACATCCGGTACGGGAAGGTATGTAGCCGTGATAAGAAGTCATCATGAGTTACACTCTCGGACACTGATCAGTATATGAAGGAGTGATGATCATTTTAAGAATTTTCAGACGTTATCTGTATTTAAGAGACAACTATATATTTTGAATATTTTATTATTTGATTGTTTCACACTTTTCATATTTCATAATTTTATTACTAGGTGGAGGTGATGTTATTGAGACTTTGGGCGGCCATAAAACTCCTGTTTTGAAAGTTGTCCTCTGTACTTGTTTCACTGACCCACGCTTTATAGCATTTATACATTTCGGCCCATTTTATATGTTTGTTCGACTTGCTGTACATTTGTATATTTGCTATTTTGTAAAAGTTTCAAATCAAATCAGTTGTGACATCAGTTATCCCTTATAACATGGCACAAGTAGCTGCAATTCAGCAATTGATCAGCTCTTTAAATCTCATTCTACATTATGACGAGAGCGTAAAAATAATGCTTCCCTGAATCAGCACAATGAAGGGAACAAGATGCTGTTGGAATTTAATTATTTATCTTCCACCTGTAGTCCCTACGTGTCGATGATATTTAGTATTTTCGTCAGCGTATCTAAATATTTCAACAATATTTATCGAGATCAATATTTCATTTCGATATGAGGCAGAATTTTCTCACGTTCCTTAATAAAAAGGATTCCCCGTTTAGCAAGGGTTCGCGTCCCTCATCCCATCTACGAGTCAAGCAGAGAGATTGTGTTTACTTCTTCCTAGGTCAGTTAAATTCTACTGATGGATTACATCACCAATTAATCGTCACTGATTGGATAAAATGATACGATCTCTCATATTTTACGACTTAAACTGACTCGGATTTTAATTCAAAATGCGACAGAGTGAACGATCAGAAAATTTAAATGAACATGACCACATCAAACGATATTACGAATACCATTTTAATTAAAGATTAAAAAGTCCTAGACGAGATTGTGAACAAAAATTGGACAAAATCCAGGTCCAGCGACGAAATTTAACACTGAAAGGATCCAGAAAGTGAAATACAACTAAAAGAACTGCTTCGGACACTGTAATGTTCATTGTTCATCTGCCTTAGCTCTAAATCTATTTTCTGTATATAGAGCTGCGCTCTACTTTCCTCTATTAGTCTATAGTTCTCATCCATCACGCTTCAGTAACGACGACTCTAACTCTAGCGAACCCGCTGATTTCTCCATACCTCGCCACACACTTAAATATCCCCGCATCTGACCAATCGGGCTTATTGGCCACCTTCACGCTGAACCAATCCTTTTTATCGTTGTAAGCTATAGGTCCGATACTTTGCCAATTAGTTCCTACCAGCTTGTAGAAGGATATGTTTGCTTTGTTCTTTATCTTTATGTTAGTGCTGGTCTGGAATCTGCACTTCACCAGACAGGCTGGTTTTCCTTGATCCTTTACACACCTCACAGTTTCGGCTGCTGCTGTTGCCAGGACAGCAATGTCATCCTTTTCCGTGCAGTAAGTGGATCCAGTTGATTCTGTTTCATATCCCGCTGCACAATCTTTACACATGTTCAAGCCACGTTGGTCGCTGTAAGTATCCTTTGGGCACAAGACACAAACTTCCCCATTGAAGTAATTTCCTGGAGCACAGTCGTTAGCAATGATGTCGCGACAGGAGGAAGAGCCAATCTTGTCTGTCATTTCACCATGAGGACACTCTTGGCACTCCCAAGCTCCTATATCGTCTGAAAAGGTGTTCTTCGGACAGTTGATACACTTCTTACCGTTATGAAACTTACCGGCTTGGCAGTAGTTCAGCTTCGCGCACTCTGTGGAGCCAGTAGATTTTGTTCCCGTTCCACTGGGACACTTCTGGCAGAAAGCCTGGTGAGGTTTGTCAGTGAAGGTGTCCTTGGGACAGGGGGCACACTTGTTCTCCTTCTCGCTGAAGAAGGCTCCTGGCTGGCAGTTGTTCTTCCTGGTGCACCTCGTTGCTCCAGCCTGTTTAGTTTCGTAACCGTGTGGGCATGGTGCACATTCAGTGTTACCTACAGAGTTGTCGAAGGTGTTTCTTGGACAGAGCTGGCAGATGTGGCCGTTGTGGAACTTACCTGGGCCACAGAACGTACTCTTGATGCAAGCTGTGGATCTTGTTGATTTAGTGTAGGTTCCTTTCGGACAGGAGCTGCAAGTTTCTGCGTTGATCGTATTGGAGAAGGTGTTCTTTGGGCAGGCAGTGCACTTGCTCTTACCATTGACAAACGTACCAGCAGGGCACGTTTGATTGGGAATACATTGAGTAGATCCAGTTCCTTGGGTATGTGTCCCTGAAGGACAGTGAGTGCAGGCAGTGTTCCCAGCTCCATTTGTAAAGGTGTTCACTGGACAGTGAACACACGCCCCATTGTTTGTGTTCATGTAGGTCCCAGCAGAGCAATTGTTGATGAAGTAGCAGGATGATGCTCCAGCTTTGCTTGTGGTTCCTGGTGGGCAGCTCTGGCAGTGTCGTGCTCCAATTTCCGGGTTGAAGGTACCCGCACTACATTTCTTGCAGTTGGACCCTTCTCCTGAGGGTATCTTTCCCTTAGGACACTCCACTGCCCATCTCCAGAAGATGAACTCGAAGAACTGGCCACTGTTCGTAGTAATGGAGGTTTGACAACGGTATGGGTGGGCTCGTCCACTGCTATAGATGTGCAGACAGTATCGGTGGTCGGTGTAAAACTCTATTTGTTGGTAAATTCCATTGTACACCTGACCTGAACGATGATCACGTAGTAAATTTATGATACACAATTAATTAACAAGAGTGATTCAAATATTATAAGAATGATAATAAAGTAATGAATGAAATTCAATGACAAACAATTGCTAAAAATCCCGAAAATACTCACCGTTTTTTATGATGAATTTCTGTTCATGCGATCCAGTGCACCGGGTTATGTAGAGCTGACTATTTCCACTTTTAGTAACACACCCTTTCCCGCCTGTACTCTCCGGATATTTCCAGTTCTGAATCTCTCCGGTACTAGAAACGTATCTAAACTTCTCACCCTCGTCTGAGTCGTGACAGATCCTGGTTTGTAACTTCAGGTACACGGTCTCCACAGCAAGACACAGTCCGGTGGATCTGAGTTTGAGAGTTCCCCAGTTACCGGCAGCCAGGTCGGGGTCATGTACTGGGTTCAGTGGCGGACCTGTGATAAGAACAGGCTTTACGCAAGGTTTGCTACGTTTGTTAGTTCCCAAACGTGAAAATGGGCGAAAGCTCTAAGTCTATAGCGTCCATCGGATAAAATTATATCATGATACTTCTTAACTTAAATCATATTGTTATGGATAATATGTTAGCTAAATTCTTTAATAATAATTATACTAAGTTAACTTACCATTGTAATTGGACCTCACGTAGAAGTTCATCCACTGTTCAGAGCTAGTCGAGTAGGACTGACAATCGTATAACAGAGCGTAGGGGTTGTAAGAGGCACTCCTCACATAACTACCATAGAACTCCACGCAGTACCGCTGATCAGCCTCGGTCACAAACTGCACAGCTGCACCTGCGAACTCGTCTCGGAGTAGGAACTTAAAGTGGTCGGTTCCCTTGCAGGGTACAATAAACAGACGAGAGTTACGAGTGAGTGATTGTGCAGCTAGACAGTAAGGTTTTCCGTAGGTCCTTGTGAGACCCCTGTGCTGTAGTTGGTGGGTGTTGGTGTCGTACCTGGAAATTATAGAGATATACATTCTACAAACTGTTGATTAGAGTAAAAAAACAGAACGCAGAATTTCTACAGCTGACATTTCCTTGTTATAAGATAGTTAAAATCCATGCACCAAGTAAAAACTATCACGTTTTTTACAAATAGCTTACCTCCACTCCATTTGATCGGTTTCAAATGAAACATCAGGATGACATCTACCAGTGAACAAGAGATTTTCCTTGTATTTGGAAACGTACTGGATGTCATAACACTTAGACGGGTTGACCATGTAGGTTACATGCCCCCAGTTCCCGCTCCTAAGTGCGGCAGCAGACGTGCAATACGCCACAGGCAATAGAATAACGCATATCAAACAAAACTTCAGCATCATATCTGTTGCATAAACAGCTTCTCCTAAAAGAATGAACCAAAACTCTTGCTTCAAATCTTTCTGAAGGTAGGACTAAGAGGTATGTGTTTCTCGGTTTGGGTAGTTACCCGTTATCACATGTGATGATCAATCACATGAGGTCTGTTTTACAAAGTTAGGGAGTTTCTCGAAGTTATTTGGATAGTTCCTGAAACTTGATATGAATTATGAATTGTTCACATTGACTATCTCATCAAACCACTGCAAGATTCAATTTATTTTTAAAGCCTTTCTTCAAATATTAGACTTAAACTTTTTGCTGAAAGGGTATAGTTTATTATATAGACTATAAACTTTCCTACAATTTTTATTTTCCGAAATAACTTACAAACAAAAGTATGAGCACTTAATCCTCAATTTTGATCTTCGATGTTGCTAAATCTTAACGAGCGTGCTAAATCACTTTACAGTCGATCTTCAAGATTGTTCTAAAAGGGCCCCCGACCGTTGAAACCAACTTCAATCGATGTATTTTCGGACGCTGATTCCGTATCACCCCCCCCCCCCCGGCCCCCCCCCCCCCGCCCCCCCCCCCCCCCCCCCCCCCCCCCCCCCCCCCCCCCCCCCCCATGACATAGGGTTAAAATGCTCCCCTGACGAGATATTGGCGAAAAACTGTCTTGATCACGTGATATGACCGTGAAAGGAAGTTAGTCTAATTTCTCGTTGGCGTTGGGGTTTCAGCATATGCTTTTGTTAAGGAGTTGGTTAGGTTAGAGTTGGGATCAGATTATAGGGTTAGAGTTTCGAATAGTTTTTCAGGACCAGCTAGAGAACGAGTTGAAAAAGTCACGTGACAGTCGAGTGTAGAGTGATTAATCAAAATCTTTAGGTTGTTCAGTCGGCAATAGCTAAAAATAACCGGTCCATAAGCGTTAAGATTTTTGTAGCCTGAGCAGTGTAGCTGCACAACGTCTCAGCAAACCTTACCGGCTGAGTGTGACTATGTACTAGAGTTGATAGCGTCTTCATAGCAAGTTCATGTTGATCGCGCGCTTAAGTTTACTGATTGCACCCTGGCGCATTCCAAGCTTCAATTGACACAATTTAGTCAATTAAAGGGCAAAAATATGTAATTGTATTGCTCTCCTGGCGAGATATCAGCAAAAACTGTTTTTATCACGTGACCATATAATGAAGTTGGTCTAATTTCTCGTTAGGATTAGGGATTGAGTTAAGGTTAAGTTAGAGTTGGGATCAAATTAGACTTAGAGGGTTAATGTTTAAAATTGTCATTTACTTTCAGGGCCACCCGGCCCAGAGAACGAGTTAAAAAAGTCACGTGACAGTCGAGTGTAGAGTTAAAATTGTAATTAATCACTCTACACTCGACTGTCACGTGACTTTTTTAACACGTTCTCACGGCCGGTGGCCCTGATCAGTGGCTATTCAAAACCCTAATACATAATATTTGACTATTATTCCAACCCTAATAGTAATATAACCCAATCCCAACAAAAGCATATGCTTAGGAGGTGCACGATAAAAATAAACTTGCTCGATAAAAATAAACTTGCTCGGATTAAATAAACTTGCTCGGATTAGATCGGATATTCAAAATATTTGTACCATATCCTCATGTATAACTCTAGTTGCTGGGGAATGCCTAAATCGTACTGGAACAAACTAAATACATGTCACCGTAACCACCTCAGAAAGATCATGAATGTCAACTGGCCACGCAGTATGATGTCCAAAGATACCCTCTACAAACAGAGTAACTCTACCCCTATGTCTGAGCGTGCTGAGTTATCTAGGTGGAAGATGCTAGGACACATACTGAGGAGTGATGAAAGATCACCAGCTCAAGCTGCGCTGTGTTTTGCTGTCGAGATGTGTAATGAAGTTGGTAGACTCGGGGCTCACAGACGTAACCTCCTACACCACCTGAGGGTTGACCTCTGGAAGCGTTTCATCTTGCTGGAGTCGTATGATGATATTCTCCATTTGAGAGAACTTGCTAGTGACCGTGGTTATTGGAGTAAATTGTTTAACTTTATACTTGAGTACAAGTCAATTTGATTATTGGGACATATAATTTTACAAAGGATCACGTTTCGGTTCTAAATTATTTTAGGATTGTTGACATTTGTAAGATTGACATGTTTGATAATAATTGTTCATGTTTTCTAGAGAGTTTGAGAATTTTCACAATACCAAATCACAGTGCTGGCAAGCACGAGCGGTGTCTTTATTGGGGGAATACTATGTACCCCCTTTACTATTGCACCCCCTTTACTATTATAACCCCTTTACACCCCCTTTGGTAGTACACGTTGGAAGCCTCTTTCGTGCACGCGAAGCGTGCACTCCGGCCGCCTCCGGCAGGAGTTTTTCAGGCATTAAGACTTATCGGAAGTCGTTCAGCAGATTTATTTTCAGTTCAAAACATTCTAATTTGATGTCAAAGATGACAGGAATAAAAAATAGTTATGTTGAGATTTTTAAGAAATTTGCATAAAATACTCGCCAGCACTGTTATACGAAATTCGGTAAAAACCCAAAATCGCCATATTCAAGTGCCTTAAAAACTATGTTAAAATTGAGTTAGAGATCTGAAATTTTTCAGGGCGTCTAGACGTTGACCAAATCGACTGTAAAAAAGTTTCAAGTTTCAGGAGCATCGGAAAATGGGTTTTCTAGAACCCCTGTTTTACGACAGATTGTCGTGATATATACATACATTCAGGGATAGACGCTTTGCCAGTCAATTATAGGCTATATTCAGGTGTCCGTAGATTCAGAAGCTTTAAAGATGCAGCCATTTCGGACCACAGGTCTTGAAGATAATTGTTTAGACTTTAGTTTACATTATGTTAAAAAGTAATTCAACGTCATCATCACCACTTGATGACGTCATCAAGTTAACCATTTTTAAAACTTGATTTTTCATAAAGTAATCATTTTTCAAATCGATTTTACGCCATTAATAAGTAATTTTATTCAAAATTTGAGGACATTTTCACCTTAGATAATTGTTTAAGCATTCTGAAAATCTACCGGAAAATTTTCCTACCTTGCTCCTTCATAAAGATATTCGCTATTGAAGTTAGTGCTTTTTTGAAGAATAATTTTTAAAAACGCTAATTTTACGTTCTAGTATTCTCTGGTGTTGCACCATCCCTTGGGTTGTGGAGCTCAATTTTGCTTTCTAAAGGTCTAAATTGTGTCATAGGCTAGTTTAAAGTTAAAAATCGAAAAGTTGTACACGTGGGGCCACGCCCAAATTGATAGAAAATTGCTAAAATCACTAATAATTGTTGTTTTCACCAATTTCCGTCAACTTTGGAGTGCCGTTGTGATTACATTATACAGGGTGGGCCAAAAGTCAGTGTGCAAACGTTGGCCTTAATAGCTCAGTCACTGAGTGCCCAATTGAAATACTTCCTTCTGGTATGACTAAGTACCACCACTGGTTCGAGGAATTTGTCAACTCGAAAAATATTCGCGTTCATTTTTTTCAAATGGAGGTTCATTTTCACATTTATTTGAAAGTTTGGATAGTCGGATCAAGCTAAATGTTATTGAATTGTGTTTGGCCATTCGAATTACGTTTGCCCTGAAAGAATTAGAACTGTAGCTTCTCAGATGACCGAGATATGAAGCATAACGAGTTTATTCATTACGTGTGATCAGGTGATTGGTTTACCTAATCACGTGATAAGGTGACCCCGTTAACTACCCCGTTAAACATTATGGGAATTGTTAAGGGTGCCCAATTAAGGTGTCGTGTCACGGTGTCACATAATCACCCAGTCAATTTTGTTAACGAGATACACAAAATGCTTGATAACTTCGTTATTTCTAATCCGTTTTGCCTCATGTTTTCAGATCATATGCAACATTTGATAATCTACCGTCTCTAAAAAATTAGGCGTTCAGCATGTTCAGAGAAAACAATATAGGTGTTTTAATATTGAATGGGCGTGGTCTAAAATATTCGAATTTTCAAATTTTGACGACGGAATCCTCGAACCAGTAAGTACAGTATGCCATCTGCAAAGCAACAGCCCCCTCAAATATAAAACACGGCGGAGGTATAAGACCCAACGTTTGCACACTGACTTTTGGCCCACCCTGTAGTTTTTCTTGAAATACTTTGAAACTTTTCATGCTTATCAAACTATATATAAACCACCATCATGCAAAAATTTACGTTGATTCAATATTGGATGCGCACGCAACTTCCGCTCAAGGTTTGCACGTGCGAAAGGTTAAAATTTTGCTCATTCGTGATTTTGAACAAATTCTGCTTTGCCACGACAGTTCAATGTCATTATATATGAATTTAATGCCAACTTGAATGAGTATAAAGTTGCATATTCAGTCAGTGATCGACCGATATGCTTACCTAAACACTAGGAAATTTTTTTAAAGGAAAAATTTCGAAATCGTTGAAATAACCTCCTTATTAATATTAATGAAGTTATGAGTTTACATTTCGGCTTTGTAAAGTACCCTGACATTATAATCAAAAAGAGATGATATTTGACCAAAACCCATAATCATGGGTAGAGTGGACCGCTGCCAGTGTCTCTCTTTTCCAAACAAAAGGCAATGATATCAATTTGAATGACCGTCATCAACTGCAAAATGATACCGAGAATGAAATCGGTCGCTCGCTTTTCCCATTCATTTACAATTGAAATAGATTACATGTTATAAATCGAAACTTATTACAATTCGTAAGCCATGAATGAGTGGGAAAAGCGAGCGACCGATTTCATTCTCGGTATCATTTTGCAGTTGATGACGGTCATTCAAATTGATATCATTGCCTTTTGTTTGGAAAAGAGAGACACTGGCAGCGGTCCACTCTACCCATGATTATGGGTTTTGGTCAAATTTGTTATACCTTTTTGGAATGATTAATGAATTTTGCCTAGCTGCCATATTTAATGACGCGCGGCTTTTAGAGCTTCAGTGTTCAGTAAGTGTAAAAGTCGTGTAATTTGACGAAATTTGTTGATTTTTATCGTATTATTTTGTCATATGACATATCTTTTGTAGGTTTACAACCTACCAGGACGCGCGCCGAGTTGGACTCGTCGACGGTCCTAATATCAAATATACGGAACAAATATTTTACGAGTATCACCCGTTAATTATTAAATATATCTTCGGTTCCTAAAATGAGATCATTTTGAAAATTTGTATAAACTTTCCAATAGGACTGTCAAAAGTGTTCAAAAAATTTGGTGGATGTGATGTCCGAGTTTATAAAGTGATGAAAATAGGACAAAAAAGTAAAAACGTTGCTTTATGCTTTGAGCTGTAATATAAAACATATAATGTCTAATTATACACATAATGTCTAAATATAAATAATTGAATATCAAATATGCCTCAAATTTTTCGGACAGCTTTTTTGTAAGTTTATTAGTAAACTTACTAATTTTTATTAAAATTGGATTTAATTGAGGGATCAAGGTTAAGCTTAATTGTTAATGCAATGCTTAATGTGCATTATGCATTTGTTTGAAGAAATTTGTGCCATGCCGGCCGAAATTAGCGCTAAAACACCATTCTACTAAACTGTTTACAGTCGGCACGCGTGTTAACGGGTGATACTCGTAAAATATCTGTTCCATATATTGGAACATGGAAGTCCAACTCGGCACGCGTTCTGGTAGGTTGTAAACCTACAACACGCGTGGCTCACTGTCGATTGCACATTACCTAGATTTAGCACGCTTGCACATGTCTCACGTTACGTAGCTGGGGACCTCAGGCTATCATGTTCATAAACCGAATAGAGAATAGGCGGAATGACAGGCTGAGCGCGGCCCAGTAAGTCTCACGGCGCGATTTTCATTTCACGATCTGGTGCACTTGTGCAGCTGCAGTGCGCGCAGCGAGCACAACGTGGAGACATCAATGACGGATGATACTGATCGTCTAAATTTCTTCTCGAAATATTAGTCACCAACTATTAAAAACGATCGAACAACTTTGAAAACGAAGCTTCGAAATCAAAAGTAGTCCATTGACAATACACTTAATTGTTGTTCATTGTTAATGAACTAGCCCGGCGCGCTATTTTTATTCGTAGCACTTGCCTCGGGCCATAATATTTCGAGAATTAAGATAGTGGCGCGCGCTACTTCGAAGAAATTTTGTAGACGAGTAACATCCGGCCGTCAAACTTAATTGACGATGTCAATCCTTCGCAGCTTAGCGAAGCCCAATGGTGCATCTCGCCGATCTAATGAGAAGCATTATTGAATGCGCGGTGCAGCTCCCTGTGAAATATATACTGCATCGCACTACAATCATCGCATTTTATTGTTTATGAAAAATACATATTAAATATTTTTCCACCAACATCAATAATTTATCAACTACAATTTAACTTAACATTATGATTAATTGACGATGTCAATTCTTCGTAGCTCAGCGAGGCCCAGTCTATACTAGTAGTGCATCTTGCCGATCAACTGTCAGGGGCGCTTTTATGTTTTAGAAAAATCTCGAAGATCGGGTGTAAAGTGATTTAGCACGCTCGAGAACATTATCGTATTATAATTTTAAAATCTTTTCATTGTCCACACTTTCTTGTGGAATACAAATTTTGAAGTTTATAAATTACTTTTTTTGCCACATTAGGATAAAACCAAAGGTATTGATTATATTTATTTTCATTATTAACATAACTGGTTCTCTCAAACATTCTAAAATGTAAAAATAAAATATAATAAACCATTTAAAATACTTTTATATTTTACATTTTAGAAATCATATCTTTCTTTAACGGGTAATACTCTTAAAATAGTTGTTCCAAATCACAAATATTCCAAATAAAGACTGTCGACGAGTCCAACTCGTTCCGTGTCTTGGTAGGTTACAAATCTACAAATCTTTCTTAAATATTTTTAAATTTTAAAGCTTAAAACATGAAAAGATTTTTGATGTTCGGAGGGGGTTCATTTTAGTTAGGAATATATGAATTACTCGCCCCGGAAGAAACGACTTGCTGAACGCTGTGATGCTTGCCCCACACAGTACAACTGCTCGGCCATTTCGTGTTAAATGTCATGAGAAATGCCTTATGAAATGATATGAGGATCGCAACGTGAGATAAGAAACGACTTGTGGAGATTCTTTATTTTATTTACATTCTTACTTATCTATTTAATTGCTTGAAACAAGACTAAGAGCGGATCTGCACATTGTCAAATTGGGGATTTCCAATCTACAGCTGTACGGAAGAGTACCCACCTCTAATCAATCTCATAAACAACCCCCAAACTTCCATAAGCCGCAACTGGATTCCACAATTGGGCACAATACTCAAGATAAGACCTTATTAAAGCTTTATAGATAGCAACCATAACAACTTTTTCGCTTATTACTAAATTCCTTACAATCCAAAAAATCATATGATTTACCTTAGAAATGCATACTTTGATCTTACTTACCTTTACTTTTACTTCTAAAGCAGGGAGCTATGGATAATAACCCCAACTCTTTTTCCTTTGCGGATACTTAGTTCTACACCATTTACCTTATGATTTAAATTAGGATTGTTGTTAAAATGAATATGTACTACTTTGCACTTGACAGGATTAAAATTGACTATTATAATTGACTATTAGAACAAGTGACTGGACTTTTCATATCACATATAAAGATAAGGTTATATTAGAATAAACAACTATTGCCTGACAAAATGACCTAACGCAATGTTGCCATGGCAATGTTGGCAACAGCCTCGTTAGAGGTGCCATGAATGAAAAACAGCCACTAAGCTAGAAGTATCTGCCAGAGCAGGCAAAGCAGAGCACCGTTGGGGGGGGGGGGGGGGGTGGTCTAGAGGCAGAGCCCATTGGAAAATTTACCCCTCAGAAAAATTTGGAGAAATTTGAAGCATTTTCCATATTATTCAGTATCCTGACTCATACAAAATTATTCCTAGAGATACACAAATTACAAACCTATATTTGGAAGTGTAAGGAATTCTTCGTCAAGTCTCAAGAATTCAGAAGATCTTTGACAATTGACATAATATGTTAGCTTTTTAGGAAATATTCTCAGGGCAGGCAAGGCTTTTGTCAGGAGAGGCTTCACCTGCCCTGCCTCATTGCTGGCTACATGGATGGGGAAATTTCTTTCCAGCTGTTCTTAACAGATCTCTTATTTAGATAATATACTAATAAAGTTAGTTTGCTGATTCATGATCTATGCAGTGGCGTAACGAAGGGCCCTGCTGACCCCGCTGTGCAGGGGGGCGCCGTCTAAGGGGGGCGCCAAATCGTCGTTTGAATGTGGGACAATTTCGAAAACTTAACTAAAGTACTAGCAAAACTGTGCGTTTTGCTCTAGATACACACTTTTTTAGAGATTTTTACCGGCGTATCTTCTAAAATCACCTAATTTGTTCAATTTTAGGGAGGGGCACCAAAAGGGGAGGGGGCGCCAACAGGGGGGCGCCTTTTCGGCAGGGGGGCGCCAACAGGCAACGTTACGCCACTGGATCTATGATGGTGCAGTAGCTATAGTTGGTATCTTAGGTACGATCAAATTATTATATTAAGCTTGAAGTAACACCAGATCTAATCAGTAGGAGTGTTATATATCTGAATTTGGCACTAGATGTGTCATGAGTGAAGCTCATCAGATCCTGAGAAGAGAACTCAAAGAAATTTGGAAAGGTATAAACTCGAAATAATTTAACGTTTTAACCATGAACCACACACTTTAGTTAATGTTTTTAATATGATCAATGCTTGGTTGATAGTTGTTGTATCGACAGTTAGACATCCTTCCCAAATATTCCGTTCTAACTAGATCACTGTTGCCTCTGTCAAATTTTTAAAACTGTGTTTCAGGGTTACCTATCAATTATAAGACATGTTCAAAAGTATTAAAGCGTGATTCTGTGTTCTGCGATTACTTCAATGCCTTCCTCTCACTTCCAGTAAGTGTTTATCGAATTTGTTTATGATAAAAGCTTCGAATTTAGATAATGTAGTTTGTTTTTTAAACTCGTCAACAAGTAACCTAACTGACTCTGAACCAGGCATTTGCTCGACCTCTGTACTATGACAGAAAAACAGAGAGTCTCCTGGAAGTGTATAGAGATTGTAAGGTTCCCGTAGTCGGTATCACTATACAAGCTCCCGTTCCTGTTGGAGAGGTTCAGGAGCTCCTCTTGGTCTGGCTACTCAAGTACAGACTACCACTATTCCTCAGGTTACTGGCCGAACTGTTTTATTTCGTATTTTTTCCATCGCCTTAAAAAGGCAATAGATGGTTAGAAGTGGTAGGAATTGAGGACGGGTATAGTGGGTAGGTATGTTTTTCGTGTCACGTGAGTCATGAATTGTGTCACAAAGGAAAACATGCATTACCCTCCGCATAACCATTTAAATGCATCTTCTCTGCGCGCGGAGCAGTAATGGTGTCATCTCCACGGTTACCCTCCGCACACGTTTGCACGATTCGACGATTGTATTACACTTTCAAATGCGCGGCGCCAAGCTGACTAAAGTTTTCATAACAGTTACGGTCATAGGTCAGCGTACGTATGTAATTACAATAATTTATTCTGTTGTTTTAAATGGATTTTAATATAAACAATGTTGATCATTGATGCGCTACAAGTACAAGTATAACGCATTATATTAACACACTAATTTCACGTTTTGTTGTGAGTTATTGGTGCAACAACCGACTTGGCTCCCGATAATGCTATTAGAAATTAGAAATTAGAAAGGTCATTGCAAAATTACATGTGTCAAAACTCAGATCCCAATCAGTTAAATGAAGATTATTAATAATCCGTTATATTGTTGAACGAGCGTGCTTAATGATAATCACTTTACAGTCGATCTTCGAGATTGTTCTAAAATTGGAATTAATATATCACATAATAGGTTAGGGTTTCGAATAGTCGTTCAGGGCCAGCTAGAGAACGAGTTGAAAAAGTTACGTGACAGTCGAGTGCAGAGTAATTAATCATAATGATCATCCTTTGTTGAACAAATTATGATGCTGATATTATGGGCTCTTACTAAATCGCTCGCCCAAAAATTTCACGTGACTTTGGTTTTTTTTGGTTGTACAAAACGGTTTTAGTAGGAGCGGATATTATGTTGAACATGATTGTCGAGCGATTAATTTGTTATACGAAATGGACCGTAAATATTATTATGAGTTACATTATGATTACCTAATACGGATTTCACGACTACCATTTTATTCAATCTAACAACTTATGTAGACTTGTAAACAACCATTCCTTCACATGGCTTTTGTAAATTGTAATTTTAAATTTTAAAAGGCAATGCCTACGAGTACGGTCGATGGAAATCTAGCGTCCGCTAACCGGCGCAATTCTTGTTGTTATTTCTTACAATCTGAAATGCTTTAGTGCAGAGTGTTCCTAATTAACAGGAAGTAACAGAACTACTTGCAGGACGACTCTATATGTTGAATATCAGCTATGTAAGCAGTTGTTACGAGTGAGCGGGGCAGTTCCAGACCGACCGGATAGTGACGAGGAACTGACAGAGAGTGAGACGGAGGAGGGTAGTGAGTCCGAGATAGTTATCAAGGTGAGTCCGAGGTAGTCGTCAAGGTGAGTCCGGGATAGTTGTCAAGGTGAGTCCGAGATAGTTGTCAAGGTGAGTCCGAGATAGTCGTCAAGGTGAGTCCGAGATAGTCGTCAAGGTGAGTCCGAGATAGTCGTCAAGGTGAGTCCGAGATAGTCGTCAAGGTGAGTCCGAGATAGTCGTCAAGGTGAGTCCGAGATAGTCGTCAAGGTGAGTCCGAGATAGTCGTCAAGGTGAGTCCGAGATAGTCGTCAAGGTGAGTTCGAGATAGTCGTCAAGGTGAGTCCGAGATAGTCGTCAAGGTGAGTCCGAGATAGTTGTCAAGGTGAGTCCGAGATAGTCGTCAAGGTGAGTTCGAGATAGTCGACTATTTAGAGTATATTTCTGATTCATTTGCAACATAGTTTTATGGAATTTGAGGAATTAGGATACATTGTTAATGTACTAATTACTAACAACTCCATGTTGCTCTCCAGGAGAGACATGTGCTAGATATAGCTGGACTAGACCGCAGTTCACAGATGAGTACTGCGGAGGGGCTCTCAACTCCTCTAATAGAGGTCCCTCAGTCTCCCGCTCCTAGTAGCACTGTACACACACCAATATTGGAGGACAGTGATCACATCACTCACACTCCGCACTCAATCGACCAAGACAGGTACTTACAGCTCGTGTTATCATTATAGGTGAAAATGTTAATTATCATTAGACATTCTTATCTGTATAGCATTTTAAAGCATTATTTCATTGTTTTTATAACCCTAACTGAACTAGGTTGAAAAGGATCCCAGCCCTATTAAAGGATTTACTTGTGTCAGGGTAATAATATGTGAACATTGTACTGCTGCGTGAGGGGTCTTGCTGTGAAATGTGTCCATCTCACTGACGCCACTTGACACAAAGTATTGTCGTTATACCAGTCGTTATTACTCAATTATTGAATCTGGCAGAGTTCATTAACTGAACCACGAGCGGTTGGAGGTTGCCACACATTTCAGAGCACGTCCCTCACTTCAATAACCTATTATACCTGTTATTAAGAAGCTGACATGGAATTGATTGATTCCTGCCTTGAAGTGTCCCAACTGTCAAAATTGACTTGCAACAATTCAAACGTTGACAAAGCAGAGATTCTTTATTGATCAAAGTAACGATTAACATTGAATAATTCAGTATTATAATATGTAATGTGTATCAAGACGTTGGGGACAGTTCACAATGTTAAGTGCCATAAATATTAGTTGTTAGCTGGTTGCTATGGTGACCTCCATAAGAGTGTTTGAAATAAGTTTTAGGACTTCTCATACTGTAACTATTATAGTTGTGGGGGTTGATGTTACCGATATCAGAAACATGGAAATAGTAAGAATTAAGCTGTTAGGTGGCCCTAAAACTGTGTCCATATCTTGATTTGGTAAAATAATGATTTTTAAACATGAATAGTGTAAGTTACATTTAAATTTAATCAGTAATGCATAAATCCATTTATCCTAATACAAGTAAATAGTTTTAAAATCAGTTCAATGTAATCGCTGAATCTAGAAATTTCTCCCCGCTATTTTGGATTCGTTGCTCTGTAAGCACCTACTTATTTCCCAGTTCATTTAGTTTAAAGATGTAGTGAAATTTGAGCCGGTGTATGCTGAACATGTAATTCAATAACACTTCAAAAGTTCATGTTTTATTAGGGGGAGTCAGTAACCTTCCTACTCATTAACATGTACCTTCTAGGAATGAGATCCCTGTAAACATAGTGCATCCTGCATGAAGTTAGGAATATCTGTATGGACATTGATATCCATGTTAAATGTTTTATAATCAAGTAATTTTAGTATGATTATTGTATAATTGTAACTGATTTCATATTTTGTAATTCTATGTTGGGAGATGTACAGATTTATAACTTATGAGTTTGTGACCCAATTAACTCACGAGTAGACTAGAAATGGGGGCGACCTATGTGAGTCCTATATTATTTACATTGTAAGGAACTATAAAACCTGACTGACAGTAAGAGGATGGTATTATGTACCTTTGCGTCATAACGTACTTCATAAAGTGTAATAATACCCTACTCGATCAGGGATCTGATAGCGATGTCCAGCACCACGATACAGTTGGAGGGAGGCGACTCATCTGAGTACGACAGAACAGGTACTTGTTGTTTCACTCAATCCACACTTTCAATCAAATCTCATACTATACTTATTAAACTGCAATTTAGGTCAATGAAAAATCGATCAGGTTTCAATTAAAAGCTGAGCGAGCATTCACTAGTTTAATGATCAGACCTCCACGATATAATAAGCTCTGTAATAAGTACCCCGAGTTAACGCGACCTCCATCAATGGTATCCGTTAGTTGAATTATCCAGATAACCCACATATTATTCTGACTTGGTAACCATGACAACGCCTCACTGCAGTGGGATCCTGCACTGCAGTGGACACAGTGACAGAGTCTATACAAGGATCAGGAGTGTTCACAGACTCCGTCAGGTTACCTGATATAAACACTGGTCCTGTGACGGGTCAGAACTACACTCCTATGGAGGGAGCTCATCCTCCTCGTGCTGAGGGACAGGTTCGTTACTTCGCACTTGTTTTGTTTAGTTGCACGTGAAAAGTGATCTAATGGCCACGAACCTCAACCTCAAAACCTCCCAAGAAGCGTTCAAGTTAAACGGTTTAAACAATTTAAACAGTTCAAACAGAGCTTACTCTTTCTGTAAAGTGGTCCACAACTAGTGGCTACTTCCATGCTTTTAGCAGGTTACTACCCTTCTAATTTAAACTAGATTAAAACATCTACCAAACCAGCAGTGCTAAACTAACCTCCCCCCGCAGACAGACGGTGCTCTCACGGCAGACATACCAGGAGGTGACACGACCATGTTCTCCTCCTCCCCTGGTGGTGTCAGCGCTCCTCCTCCCCCCACTATCCTACCTGATATCTTCTCCTCCTCTATTACCGACATGTTACCTGATTCTCAGAGCGACATTGCTAGTCCTCACGTCTGGCAGCGGCTTTACAACCGCCGGTAAGTGTCCACAACCCGTACTGTCACAACACATAAACCCCTCATAAACCCCTCATGAACCTCACCAGAACAGACTGACTTCACAGTAATTTGCTGAGCAGGCTGATTGTGCTCGTCAAGTAGAATAGTTTTCTTCAGAACAGATTTTGTGTCACTGTGAGATCACAAATAACACATGTTTGATCCTCATTGGTTGATTACACACGCGACCTGGTTGCCATGACAACACATTTCAGCAATAAAGTGAGAGACCACCCCTCCAGCACTCCTTCCCCCACTCCAGACGACACTTTTAACGAGGATTTTCCTGACATCTCAATCTCAAAACAGGACAGGTTAAAAATAAACCCGCCTTCAAAGGATAATTTATCTAACAAAAATCAGACTTACTAACAACAAAATAGTAACGATAGTAAGCGCGCCATTTATCTTGTGCAATTAGGGCAAAGTGTAGCATGTTAATGGCTGTGTTTAGTGCTAATAGCTAAGTCGTTAAATGGAAGTAATCACTAAATGAGAATGACTAACAGGAAGGTGTTGTTGGGTTCTGTGGGTGGTATGGACGGGTTCAGAGAGTTTCTGAGCAGGACAGCCGGCGAGCATCTCCTAAATCTGTGGCTGGATATCACTCAGGTAGCCAACTAGTTCCTCACGTGTGATTTACTGTTCTTAATGTTCTTGATTTTCTGTTTGTGGTAGAATTTAGCTCAGTGTGTTTTATTGTTCGTGGTAGAATTTAGCTTTAGTTTGACCTCCTTAAAATTTGGAATAAGTTCCAAAATAATATCGCATTGTTTTGTAGCTCTCTTTTAAGAAATTTATATTTTCTGTTCTCCTCTCATACAAAATACTCCTGCTATTAATTCCCTGGACCACATCAACTAAGTGTCATGTTGTAAGATTAGTTGAGATGAAGTGTTTCTATAACAAGGCATCATGGGGTGGGTAGTTAATAGCTCGACATACTGTGAAATGTGTATAGCCCCAGATTAACAGATTAACCCATTGCTTATAATAACTCAAGTTTCAAGACCTCGTATGATTATGGGAAATTGGCGCGAGTTTTAGACATCTACAATTACCTCATATTTTACCACGTAATGGTACATTATATATTAATTGTTAGTATTACCACATGTAATTTTCAGATGGAGGCTGCGTTTGAGAAGATGGAAGAGAAAGAGCTGAAAGTTGATATGATACGAGATCTGCAAGACAAGTACCGAACCAGACTCTCCTCTTCTGCCAAGGTTACATTTGATTTTAGTCAGGACTGTATTTCTTACACCCCAATCAAGTGTAGCCTGATCGTCTAATGTTTTAAAACTTCGAATTGTGATTTGGAATGATCATTTGATTTAGCTCTGTAAAGTCCGGAGCCTTATTTGAGCATTAAGGAACTTTATTCGATTGAAGGACGGTGTACTAGTGGACAGTATTTAATTGTTGTAGTGAGTAGAGGGAACTTTCTAGAACATTGTAGAATTCTACATATTCTGTAAACTTGGCACGCTTTTACAGGGGCTAAGAAGGAAACTCTAATTTGGAGTATTGATAGCTTTGTAAGCTAAAAGTAGAACGCTGTGTAGTTTGAATTAAAGTTATTCAATGTACTCGCTCCATGTTCTTACATGTCAAACGATACATATAAAGCAAGCAAGCTATTTAAAAAGCCTCCAGTTCACATCCAAGTTTTAAAATAACATCAATAATGCTTACTTAATAATGCTTACTGACACAAACTTTATGTGGTCGACTTTAATCAATATGATAAATGTGCTTAATGTAAGTATTGATCTGCTCGAGTTGTTTGGTAAACTAGCTATTTATCATACAAATCAACCCAAAACCTTATCTTACTTAACCTACTTTTTATTTGACAGGAGAGGCTGTTCAAAAGAGAGTTCACATCGCTAAACAAGCTGAAATGTCAAGTTCTAAGAAAGTTGCAATTCTATTGGCTTCCCAGATACTTCCAAATGAAGTTACAAAACTGCAGGTATCTAGTCTCCATAACCAGGCAGCCATTATACAGCCATTATATAGCCATTATATAGCCATTAACCAGGCAGCGTGGCACAGGATCTGACTTCTTTAATTGCAAACCTCGAGCAGAGTTAAAGCGAGCAGACGACTCGTATCCTACGACTTACTTTAATTCTAGTTTGCTTTGGAAATTACTTCGCCAGAGTATATCATGTCTGCTTTAGATTACTTATGACTGGGATTCTCATAAATTTTCCTCTTTCCTTGCGAATGGATAGTTTGTTGGTTGAGTACTAGATTTACCAAACTTTATAGCTAAATGCATATTAATGCAAAAAGTTTACTCTAATACTGCCCTACCACATATCATAAAGATGTTCACTGTTTCGAACATAAACGCAAAGAGAACCTCAGTTCTTCGTAGTACCATTCAACAATTTGCATTAGCCCTATGCTATTATATAAGGAAACGACTTGCCAACAAGACAAATTCTTAAATTCAGTCAAGTGTACAGTCAACAAGCATTTGCTAATACTGAACAAGCACTTGAGTCGAATGACCAGAACTAGAACGATTCAAATGTTGTTCTTTTAGGCAATTACATGATTTGGCACATCACACGTTGATACCGATGAGCAAAAAACGTTTACCTCAAAACGAAATGTGACTACCTCCGAGCTTTTTTACAATGCTACACGCCACCGCGCAATTTCACTGCCATTTACCTGATAAAATATCTGACATGCGTGTTCTTAATTATGTAAAGATTTTAAGGTGTTAGTGCCGAGTACTGCCTCCGGGTAGTGCTCCTCAATAAATCAATCAAATTGCAAGTAATTTGTATAATTATTAATTGGGCAATTTGGTAATCTAGCTAGGCACACTTGGGGCACAAAATTGTTTTTCCTGGGGCACAGTTGGGGCAAAAAGTTACTTGGGGCACACTTGGGGCAGATGCAGTTGGGGCTCACTTGGGGCACAGTTGAGGCATAAAAATGACCTGAAGCACAGTTTTAGTAAACTAAACACACTTGGGGCACACTTGGGGCACACTTGGGGCAGATACAGTTGGGGACCAGCTTGGGCACACTTGGGACAAAAATGACTAAGGTAAACAATCTTCTGGTGTAATAATAAGTAACAATGTATACGTAATTTTTAACTTAATTAAAATTAACCTAATTCCTGAATACATTAAAGACTAAAGTTAATAAAATTATACATTCAACTATTCAGGATAATACTCTTCTCATAAGTTTAGGGATTTCGCTATTAAAGGCTCTTCTCACAGATGAGTCCGATCGGGTGAGGTTATGACGCTTTCGCCACATGAACTCACAGAGGGCTATCTCTAGGGCTTCAGAGTCTGCACGGGTCCTTCCATGGCCACGGAGCATGTGTTTCTTTGCGTGAAACCACATCCCTTCACATGTGTTGGTGTGGACGCCAGTGAGGGGGTCAACGAAGCCTCTCGAATGGTTGACCACTAGAAGTACAAATCCATGCCGTGGAAGAGCACTGTAACCTTTCCACTTGTCAGTCAAGATGGTGGTTCCTGGGGCAACGTAGAGCTTTATCAAGCGAAGGAGAGTGTGGTGGTCCCTCCGGTTGTTAGGACATTCCACTAGAAAACACTCGTCTGTAGTCCTACAAAATCCCCCATGTATCCATTTACCAACAACTCTTCTTCCTCGGTTGTATTTTCTCTTTCCAATTTCGATTCATCGATCTCGATAATATGGCCGGGTCCACCAATTTTTCTGTGAGCTCCGTCCTCCAGGATGTCTTCAGCCATGCACTGACGAAGGGCATTGAAAAGGGATCGGACTGTTTTCGTGTTCATGGACAGTAGTCGGGCGGCATCCAGGACACTGATGCTGTTGCAGAACATCCAGAGGAGGTGCAGGAAATTGCAGAGGGATATCTTGCGTATAAATGTATGATTTTATTAATGTTTTAGTTGTTTAATGTATTGGTATTCAGGAATTAGGTTATTTTTAATTAAGTTAAAAATTACGTTTACGTTGTTACTTATTATTACACCAGAAGATTGTTTACCTTAGTCATTTGTGCCCCAAGTGTGCCCCAAGTGTTCCCCAACTGCATCTGCCCCAAGTGTGCCCCAAGTAACTTTATGCCCCAACTCAGGGAATATAATTTTGTGCCCCAACTGTGCCCCAACTCAGGGAATATAATTTTGTGCCCCAACTGTGCCCCAACTGTGCCCCAAGTGTGCCTAGCTAGATTACCAAATTGCCATTTATTGCTAAGATTATAATTCCTGACAGGGAAAACGGTAAGCTAAAGTTGGATTTAGATGAAGAGCAGTTGAAGTTACCTTTCCTGCCTACAGTACTGGTATCCAGATCTTATCCTCTGCAACTCAGCAATCTCACTACCGTGGTTTGTACTCTTAACTAAAGTTGCTAAAGATGTTGACTGATTAGTAACCGCAACACAATGTTTTGTCAATCTCGTAGCTGACTTTAAAAAATTTGAAAACGTCTCCTAATGGTAACTTTTAAAATATGGTGGTAGCCATGGTAACCACTAAAATATGCCATGGCAACTAAACTTCCTACCCTCTGACTCGTGTGTTTCAGATAAACGACACAGTGAACTGGGTTGAGATGTTTAAGGAACACGACCAAAGAATTATCAGTGGGAAACTTAGGAACGTGTCCGCTTCTATTGTCAGGTACCTCCCCCTTATCTTACAGAGCACTGTAACTACAATAACTAGGGTGATTACTATTAACCAAAATTTCATGTGTTGAAAATAGTTTACTGAACATGAAGGGTTAGGCTCGCGTGTAGGAATAACAAGAAATTAAATCATAGAACTGTTTGTTAAGTTATTATGACTTTACCTTATTTATTTATAACTATAATTTGTCACGGCTCATAACATATTTCTTAAGCTTCTGTGACTTTTATTTATTTATTATTAACTATGATATATAGGTAATAATTTATTACAGCTCAAAGAAAGATCACTTTATATTTGGAATACGGAGTGATAAAAATGCTGGAGGACCCTTCAAAGGCTGGCTGGCTAGGTGATTTAATAACACTAATTGTAATCCACATTAATAAAAGTCGCGTGATTTTTAATTCTGGAAATTGTCGACTCGCAAATTTTCCCAATGAACATTACATAGTAGTTATAGTTTTGTCTGATAAAGTTTGCATCTTAAACCTCTGGAAATAACACAATCTTCTCATTTCTGTTTATATCGATTGACAAACAGGTCAAATAGTCTTGATCTCAGACACAAACACAATACTAGTATACCACTATATTTTGCACTTCAAGTGACCCAGAACCCTAAAAAGAGAACACTAAAAAGAGAATCCTGCCAGGCACGGTAACACAGAGATGATAAACATACTGTCGTTCTGTGAGGAGGTAACTCAGTACAGAGTGATGGAGGAGCGCAAGGCTGACAGGGGTATCCTGAAGAGGGCTGGCTGGAGGATATGGCACAACTTCATGGCACCTGGTAAGTACAAGATGCATTATCATCTTAATATGTGAGATGTCTTTAAATATTATTTTTTAGAGTGAACTGAAATGGAATCAACGTGTTAAGATATCTTCAATCTCACATAATGGTTGATATTACTTTCAATGAAGCTAAGTTCCATAACCCGTTATTCAGGTGCCCCACATTCAGTAGGGTTAGGACCAGCAGTAACTACAGATATCAGGATAGCACTCCTCACCACTAAACCCTTTATTCAGGTGCCTCACATTCAGTAGGGTTAGGACCAGCAGTTACTACAGATATCAGGATAGCACTCATCACCACTAAACCCTTTATTCAGGTGCCCCACATTCAGTAGGGTTAGGACCAGCAGTAACTACAGATATCAGGATAGCACTCCTCACCACTAAAGACTATGTTTCTTACAGTGTATTTGATATTGCTAAAGGTTGGACTTTATCTTTATAATTCTTCTATCATATTATTCTCTTTATCGTAATTAGAGTTTATCATAATATATATTGATTTTGATTCAATTGTTGAACACTTCCTCTAGAACCTATATTAAAATTTGCACATCACCCCTAGACATTACCTAGACTTAATTCACCAGGAAACGTAACCTTGTTCCTAAAGCGAGCTTGGAAGGAGTATATCCAGGAGGACTACGAGGTTTACTTGGAGTCCAGACCTGACATCATGGAACAGATAAAACAACTGACGGAAACTAGGATACGCCAGATGCAGGGCCAGAGGACTAACCAGTAAGTCTTTAAATTTGCATCCTATAAATTTATTTTGTTTGTCAGATTGATTTTATTTTTTGCAAGTTATTGAGATATTTTAACTGTGAAGTGTGACCGGATCGTTTTCTCATGATTTTAAACTAATTATATGGCAATTCAGACACAGGCGAAGGTACAGAACTCACAAGCACAAGAAAGGAGGGAAAAAGAAGAAGATCCACACAGTGTTTGACAGTGAGAGTGAGGAGGAGCTGGAGGAGGAGGACTATACCAACATGCAAATACCTGTTCTTGAAGACGCGCTAACTAACAGACCGTGAGTTTAATTATCGTTGTTATTATGCAAATTAATATTTAGAAAACTGGTCATCAGGTTAAGAAGCGATTAAAACACGTCACAGAAATGTATCGTCTAAACCAAATGAAGAAAATCTAAATTTTTGTCAATTGTATCTTCTGTCGTCTTCTTCTCAGTTGCAGAACCAGTCCACTGCAGTCTCCACCACTGATACCATGGTGTCGGGTAGTCCTAGAGAGGTGAGCAGTTCAGGGATGCCAGCATTGCATACGTAGGACTGTCCCAGCTCAGAGAGCTGGTCAACAACGCCCATGATGGTGTCAATGAATCCTTGAAGAGCTGCTGAGTCTTTAGTCACAAGGGAAGAGGAGAGGATTCCACTACCACAGATGAACTTTTGAGCCATTTCCACAGCTCCATCGAGACTATCAGGAACTTCCAAGAGATCCATCAGTTCTTGTAAACGGGAACTGCAGATCAGTCCCTTCATGTAGTCTTTAAGCAGTCTGCCGACTAAGATCCTCACAGTCTTCATGAAAGCTCCAATAGATTGCAGGTTTCTCTCTGGGCTGATCTCCATATCTCTCTTCTCAATAGAAAAGATTCCACAGATGGCACTCTGTGCCATTTCGACAGCTCCATCTAAAGCCTCAGGGAAACCAAGAATATCGAGTAGATCCTGAAGTTTGGTGGTGCACAACTTGTCGTGGCTCCAAGACTTGAGAGTGTCCCAGATGTCTCCAAACACGCTTCCGTAAGCTTGGAGGGCTGCTGAGTGGACGTCTCTTTTGACCAGGGCATCAGATTCTCCACAGAGTTTGTTCTGGACGTACGCTATGGCACTGTCTAGTCTGTCGTCGACTCCAAGGATGTCCATGAGCTCTTGAATCTTGGCACCGCAGACAAATTTTGTTCCATATTCTTTCAGCTGGTTGTAGATCCTCTTGACTGTGACAATGAAGGAATCTTCCAAGATAAAGTCGACTTCTGAACTTCGTTTTTGAACAGAGAAGAATCCACAAATTTTATTCTGTGCCATTTCGACGGCTCCATCTAAAGCTTCAGGGAAACCAAGAAGGTCAAGGAGGTCTTGAAGTTTGGTGGTGCACAGCTTGTCGTGACTGTAGGACTTGATCTTTTCCCAGACATCGCTCCAGACTACAGCGTAAGCTTCGAGGGCTTCCAGATGAGAACTGCTTTGAAGACCTTCAGATTCAGAGCAAAGTTTCTCTTGTACATACTTGACGGCAGGGGCAAGTCGTTTGTCCAGTCCTAGGAGGTCAAGAAGATCATTTAGTTTGGCACTGCAGACAAAATCTTTACCCTTTCCTTTCAGTTCGCTGTAGATCCTCTTGATGGCATCCACGAAAGATTTCTCCAAGATCAGGTCGACTTCTGAGCTTCTCTTTACCACATCAGAACTTCCGCAAATCCATCCTTGAACCATGTTCACGGCTCCATCAAGTCTGTCATCGACTCCAAAGAGGTCCAGAAGATCATGAAGACTGGATCCACAGATGAGGTCTTTTCCGTAGGCTTTAGCAAGAGCGTAGATCCTCTTAACTTCATCAGTGAAGCCCTGGAGAGCAGCATCATGAAGGTGAGGGTTGAACATTAGGGCTTCAGGCTCGTCACAAAGCCATTGCTGGGCAAGTTCCACAGCTCCATCAAGTTTTTCAGGAAGTCCTAATATGTCAAGTAGTTCCTGGAGCTTGGCACTGCAGACAAAGTCAGAGCCTCGTTCCACAAACTGGTCGTAGATCTTCCTAACAGTAGCGAGGAAGTCAGCGATTGACTCGAGCTCCTGCTGGTGAGTCAGAGAGACAGGTTTAGCCGTGGAGACGGCAAAGAGTGCCAAAAGAGTCAGGAACAGCTTCATCTCTAAAGTTGTTGTTCAGTACTGGTTGAAAGTGGGATGAGCAGAGCAGTTTGTCAGGGGGTTATATACTGACCTATCATTGGAACAGCTGCTGTCTTTAGTATTTGATAAGGGCGGTATAACAATGAAAATCCTTTGCTCTCAAGGTTTCCAAGGCTTCAAAGAATTGCATTGTCTCCATTCATAAGGACACCTGTCCTAGTAGGTCACCATTTGTTTAAAATCAAAACTGATTTAAAATAATGCCGTTTAATTTGATTAAACTGTTTTGTGGCAGATGTCAGGCCAGCTAATTTGCAATTATATTGAACTCCACCTATAGTTCTTTGTAAGCCTTGACAGCAAAGGATTGTTATTGGAGAATTGGGTAAATATATGTCTTTAGTTTATACAGGATGGAGATGGAAGGTATCTTATCAGTACTCTTATCTTGATAAAATAAACTCGAACTCCAGGTCTCCAAAAACCGTAAACATTATACCATCTAAGATGAAGATGGAAGGGTAAGAACTATCACCATTATTGATGTTTATGTTTGAAAAGCCGCGTCTAAATCAAGCCTAAAGTAGTTTTCTTCTTAAAAATTTGATGTTTAAAGAAAGTACCCAACTCGTAAAATTTGTTTCTCGTATGCTTTGTAAAAAACTGTCTTTATAAGAAAAAAAAACTGTCCCTGTTTATTTCTTTGAAGCCTAGCAAACCACTATTATCTACTGCACTGTACATAAACAGCAATTTAATAACAGGTCAGACAAGACTCCTCACTCTCGGGTACAGCTAACAGCACTGCTCAAAAAGCAGTTTTTAAAATATTTAAAATATTTCCTGGGCCCATTCAGATGGATTCAACACTTGATCCCTACTTCCCGGCACGATCCAGCAAACTTTCTATCCATTAAAAGCACAGAGGGATCAAGAGAGATCAAGAGGAATGGGGCACTTTTTAACAACACAGTCTGGTACCATGCACAAATAATTTCTCCAACCAAGTCAGGACGTTCTGACGATTTTCTGTTCATCAAAGCTTTCTTGGGTACCTTACGAGACATATTTAAATGGTACGAAAGTCGGTGGTTTTTGGAAAAAAACACCATATTTTCGGACTACCAAACTTTAGGTCAACATCATTATTTTACCAAAATTATTTTTTACGTATTTTCCTTACTCATGACTTTATCGATTTACTAATTACTATCAACTGATCAATATGGTAAGTTATTAATACGATTTATCAAACTATTAATTAACACTACTATTCGATCATGAATTGCTTTAAAAATGATTTTGGACACGTTCCATTAAAAATAAGCATGCTCTGTCACTACTTTATTGGCCACGGCAGTGAAATTTCGGGAGTAGTGGAAGATAACTAAACAGACACTGTCGGTCTCCTATACCTTCTGGAGGATTATAAGTTATATATTAAGTTGAGGCTAACTTTTAAAGGCTCCGGAGAAATTGTTTACAAGATGAAACAGCTGATCAGAGGAGAGAAGATCTTTGTATTTAATCTTCTCGAACATTGGGTTTCATTTTTGTAAAATAAGGAAATGAAAAAATCCCCAAATACCATAATTTAATTTGGGGTGTGAAATGTGGCGGTTTTCAGAAAAAATTCCCATATTTTCGTTCCCAAATCATTTAGGTCACCGGAATTATGTCGAACATAAATATGTCCCGTAAGGTAATTTAGCTTTCAGTATCTCAATCTTGTCTTGGGCCATCCACGATTCCACAGTTAGTAGAGGCTCTTACGGGCATTGTCTGCTCGATACGTTAGGGACCCCAGATACACCTTACTAGACGTATTTTTGACCGTAGAATCGATTGAAAGTGGTTTCAAGATGATTGGACTGATTGTTCTGGGGTAAAATCGCAAAAAACCGATTTTTGGGCCAAAAATAGGCCAAAAAACCATGTTTTTTGATATTTTGAGCAAGTTAATTTTGTTGGCATGTCGGCAAAACTTGCATAAAGATAGCTAAAAGACAGCCGCACAAGATTGTATAAAAATAAAACAAATCCCTCTATTTGTTCTGAGGTAAAAATCCAAAAAAGTGGTAAAAATTTTGACTTTTTTGCTTTAAGTTTGAATAATTTTTTGCAGTTGTATTAAATCAACCCAAAAATAGTCACATCGTGTTTGCCTAAATTTTTCCTTTCCGAGAAGTACCCACTTCATATACTTAATCGAAGTTTGAATATTGTCACTCCGCAAGCGTTTTTGCCAAATTTTCGACGCGCACTACGCGCAAAAGCATTTAGTTGTTATCAATTGGCACCCGCGCGTTCATCATAAATTTCAAACAGCTATAACTCAGCGAGATTATGTCCGTTCTAGCTCATATTTTCACACTAAATAGAAAATAATGTGATCTTATTGCTGACAAAATATGGATATAATTACTTTATTTGCCTTAGAGTAATAGACTGTCAAAGTTTAAAACGCGCATTGGTATAGCACGTGACTAATAAGGCCAAATTTATACTTCTTAACATATTATCGATCCTTAGACATCATACTATTGTGTCCAATTAGCGGTTAGGTCTCTAAACTCGTAGCAGAAAACACGTCTTTTTGCCCGTAAGAGCCTCTACTAAGTGTACTTTTTAATTGGTCATTGAAGAAAAATTCAGTAAAAACAGTAAAATTTGGGTCGTGGAAAGCTGAAATCTGAAATTTTTATGATTTTCCTTTCACCAAAGCTTTCTCCGGATAGTCATCCTCCAGTACCTAGATTGCGACTTGTGTTACTCACACTGACCTCATCGATTGGTTACTGGTAAAAAATGCAGCCAAAATTGTGAATTTTCGGTCAAGGAAACGGCAGAAAAGCTTCTACCTTACTCGGGATTATTATAACCGGGATAAAGTGGTGGGTTTTGGAAGATTCCGACATATTTTTCCCGGTCAAAAATTTTACCAGTCATAAAAAAACCCGCCGACTCAGATTATGGGGTTCCAAGGGGGTGGTGATCATCATATTTTACCTGAAGTCTCATATGTGCTAGAGAAGACTTTTGAAGCAGTGGATGGAGGGCTGTAACTTTATTGGCGGTTGCTACCATAATTTCGTTATAAAAATCACAATTTGGTTGTAGAAATCAGATTTCAGGGTGGACCGTGATTCTCACTTCTCTTGCCCATGAGTGAATCGTAGAGAAGAGAGGGGACATTAGCGATAATGAGAATGAGAATACGCTTTAATGAAGATTTGACTTATTATTGCTATAGATTTATTTTCCTTTAAATAGACGTGTCTTTTTTTCTATTTCTGAGTAATATCAGTAACTGTAAATTGAAATAACTTCTTTAACAAGTAACAAAAACAGAAATTTCGGTTGAAAATTTGTTGACCTCTGAAAAAAAACTTGAAAGGTCGGCCACCGGTAAATACATGACCGGGATAATTTGGCGGGTTTTGGGAAAGTCCGCCATATTTTTCCCGGTCATTAATTTTCCCAGTCATAAATTAACCCGCTATAATATTCCCGAGTAAGGTATTAAAAAATGACTCCTTCTATTCTGATGATACCTTGAAATTTCAACCTCACATATTATGTCGTCCAACAGTACATTTGTGCTCACTTTATTAATTGTCCGCTTTTCTTATAGAAGGAAGTGTGAGTCGAGGTTTTTTTTTCATATAAAATTTGAGTCAGTATATCAATATGGCTTAGTGAATAGCGGTAGAACACATTCGATTCGAGAGAAATATTGGAGGATTGGAAAAGATTGCTTGAAAGATTACTCGTGTCAGGAAGTGATGATGAGCTGGAAGTGGAAGGCACTAACATAGTGATGGTAGAAGATGAGTGGTCGATTAAATAAGACTTATTCGATTAACTTAACGAGGTGAAAGATATGGCTGCGTGCAATAAATGTTGGGACAATTCTTATTATGGGCACAGATTACCACATTCTCGCATTAAGGTATTTAATCTTTTAAATCATTTTTGTTGGTATGATCCTGTTAAATAATATGTTATCGCAAAGTTTTATTTTCAACTTTAATTTAGTTAAAATGTGTCATACAGTGGATACTGGATATTATGTTTAAAGACATACTTATTCAATTCGTCACAATATGATTTAGAGAAGCTCTATTCTAAGGATATATTTAAACTAGAGTATGTTTAAGTTCAGTTTTGACAGATAAAACTGGTGGTTTGATTTTCTCGGTATTATGTTTTATTTAAATCTTATTATTGGGTTCTTTATATAATAGTTCTTTTCACGCTTCTTACTGCACTGGGTATAAGTTTCACTTAACAGTAGTATTGTTGACACCATTTACTGAGCTGTTATTATTTTGATTTTATTCGGTGGTCGCCAAAATATGCCGCTTATATCTGAGAATCGGAGTGAGTGGTTAACAAAACCAAATTACATGCATCCCATAGTAGATACGGCCGTAAAACTAAGTCTTCGAACTTTATTAGTACGCACATAAATTATTCGTCACTTAATGTTTGTTCACTTAATTTGGGCGATTTTGACGAAAATTGCACAATTAAGTGTCGCACAATTGTCTATTTCACAAACCGCACCAAACGCTTAATTGTGCCGGAAGAGCAGGATCAGACCGGGGTGACTTCGAGTATTAACTCATAAGCTGTCTCGTCTCATTTTAATTTTTCAAACCCAGATGGCACTTAAGCGTATCATCTTGACTCATGTCACTTTTGCACCATCCTCCACCATTCACTCTGATTTCACCGGCAACCTTCCCCAGGGTTGCCACACCCCAGAGGTAGGCAGAGCATCTCAATGCTATCCTCTCGTGGGCTATCTTGGCCCAACCTCTTTTTAAAAAAGGGAAAAAAAAGTGTCGCCACAAATTTTGTGTAATAAGGTATAACCAATTATTGTGCTGTTCATTTTCCTTTAGGTTTTTAACAAATTATAAAGACTGGTACTCTTTTACTAATAGTAATACCCTGTGACTGATAATCTGTGACTTCATTCAAAGTGATTAGGCTCATTTTAGTATTTTCATACTGAAATTACACTCCAGCAACTAGATAGCGTTTAAAAATTTCAGATAGCAGGCTTCCATCAATATGGAGCTTCACCAGCTCTTGCCTGTTCTTGAGCGGTTATTAGGAGGTGTCCGAGGGTAGCACTCTTTCTGTAGTAAATATTACCTGAATACGTTTATACAATATACATGGCCTCAGAATCTAGTATCCACAGAACTTTTCTTATGTTTAAATTCGTTTTAAATGTGATGAGTATATTGAGCAACAGTACCTCATCGTGCAGACCAATGTTTTACTTTTTTTTGTTGATAAAATATATTTCTTGGAACACAATAAGAACAGTTACTGAAATGCAATGATCAAACCAAATAACGACAAAAATTTAAATTTATCATTTACTTCTCAACAGAAAAGATTCCACAGATGGCATTCTGTGCCATTTCGACAGCTCCATCTAAAGCCTCAGGGAAACCAAGAATATCGAGTAGATCCTGAAGTTTGGTGGTGCACAACTTGTCGTGGCTCCAAGACTTGAGAGTGTCCCAGATGTCTCCGAACACGCTTCCGTAAGCTTGGAGGGCTGCTGAGTGGACGTCTCTTTTGACCAGGGCATCAGATTCTCCACAGAATTTGTTCTGGACGTAAGCTACAGCACTGTCCAGTCTGTCGTCAACTCCAAGGATGTCAATGAGCTCTTGAATCTTGGCACCGCAGACAAATTTTGTTCCATATTCTTTCAGCTGGTTGTAGATCCTCTTGACTGTGTCAATGAAGGAATCTTCCAAGATAAAGTCGACCTCTGAGCTTCGTTTTTGAACAGAGAAGAATCCGCAAATTTTGTTTTGTGCCATTTCGACGGCTCCATCTAAAGCTTCAGGGAAACCAAGAAGGTCAAGGAGGTCTTGAAGTTTGGTGGTGCACAGCTTGTCATGACTATAGGACTTGATCTTTTCCCAGACATCGCTCCAGACTACGGCGTAAGCTTCGAGGGCTTCCAGATGAGAACTGCTTTGAAGACCTTCAGATTCAGAGCAAAGTTTCTCTTGTACATACTTGACGGCAGGGGCAAGTCGTTTGTCCAGTCCTAGGATGTCAAGAAGATCATTTAGTTTAGCACTGCAGACAAAATCTTTACCTTTTCCTTTCAGTTCGCTGTAGATCCTCTTGATGGTTTCAAGGAAAGATTCTTCGAGGATCAAGCTTCCCTCAGAGTTTCTCTTCTGGAGAGAAAAGATTCCACAGATGGCACTCTGTGCCATTTCGACAGCTCCATCTAAAGCCTCAGGGAAACCAAGAATATCGAGTAGATCCTGAAGTTTGGTGGTGCACAACTTGTCGTGGCTCCAAGACTTGAGAGTGTCCCAGATGTCTCCGAACACGCTTCCGTAAGCTTGGAGGGCTGCTGAGTGGACGTCTCTTTTGACCAGGGCATCAGATTCTCCACAGAGTTTGTTCTGGACGTACGCTACGGCACTGTCCAGTCTGTCATCAACTCCAAGGATGTCCATGAGCTCTTGAATCTTGGCACCGCAGACAAATTTTGTTCCATATTCTTTCAGCTGGTTGTAGATCCTCTTGACTGTGTCAATGAAGGAATCTTCCAAGATAAAGTCGACCTCTGAGCTTCGTTTTTGAGCAGAGAAGAATCCGCAAATTTTGTTTTGTGCCATTTCGACGGCTCCATCTAAAGCTTCAGGGAAACCAAGAAGGTCAAGGAGGTCTTGAAGTTTGGTGGTGCACAGCTTGTCATGACTATAGGACTTGATCTTTTCCCAGACATCGCTCCAGACTACGGCGTAAGCTTCGAGGGCTTCCAGATGAGAACTGCTTTGAAGACCTTCAGATTCAGAGCACAGTTTGTTTTGTACATACTTGACAGCAGGGGCAAGTCGTTTGTCCAGTCCTAGGATTTCAAGAAGATCATTTAGTTTAGCACTGCAGACAAAATCTTTACCTTTTCCTTTCAATTCACTGTAGATCCTCTTGATGGCATCCACGAAAGATTCCTCCAAGATAAGGTCGATTTCTGAGCTTCTCTTTACCACATCAGAACTTCCGCAAATCCATCCTTGAACCATGTTTACGGCTCCATCAAGTCTGTCATCGACTCCAAAGAGGTCCAGAAGATCATGAAGACTGGATCCACAGATGAGGTCTTTTCCGTAGGCTTTAGCAAGAGCGTAGATCCTCTTAACTTCATCAGTGAAGCCCTGGAGAGCAGCATCATGAAGGTGAGGGTTGAACATTAGGGCTTCAGGCTCGCCACAAAGCCATTGCTGGGCAAGTTCCACAGCTCCATCAAGTTTTTCAGGAAGTCCTAATATGTCAAGTAGTTCCTGGAGCTTGGCACTGCAGACAAAGTCAGAGCCTCTTTCCACAAACTGGTCGTAGATCTTCCTAACAGTAGCGAGGAAGTCAGCGATTGACTCGAGCTCCTGCTGGTGAGTCAGAGAGACAGGTTTAGCCGTGGAGACGGCAAAGAGTGCCAAAAGAGTCAGGAACAGCTTCATTTCTAAAGTTGTTGTTCAGTACTGGTTGAAAGTGGGATGAGCAGAGCAGCTTGCCAGGGGGTTATATACTGACCTATCATTGGAACAGCTGCTATCTTCAGCATTTGATAAGGGCGGTACAACAATCATAATCTTTTGTTATCAAGGTTTCTAAGGCTTCAAAGATTTGCATTGTCTCGATTCACAGGGGCACCTGTCCTAGTAGCTAACCCTTTGTTTTAAATCAAACTGGTTTAAAACTATGTTGTTTAATACGGTTAAAATGTTTTATGGCAGATGTTAGGCCAGTTAATCTGCAATTATATTCAACTCATTATATTATCTACAGTTCGATGATTTTGAGAAATATTAAAATTTAATCCTGAATGATAAACAAGTACGAGGTAAAATTTCCTTAATCTAGGCGGTACTTTGTCAACTTTGATAGCAACGGATGGTTATTGAAGAATTGGGTTATTCGATGTATTTAGTTTATACAGGATGGAAGGCCGAAGGTAGCATATCAATGCTCTTATTTTGATAAAATTTAAACTCCAGGTGTCAAAATACTGTTAACATTATACCCTCATCTAAGATGAAGATGGAGGGGTAAGAATTATCACTATTATTCTGTTGTTTTCTGACAAATGTGCTTAAAAACCATTTTAAATAATTCAGATTCAGCAATCTTCCCATCTATTATAAGCTGAGAGGGATGAAGCAACGTCTCTTTCATAATCAGCACAGAGGGATTCGGCACTTTTAACAACACAGTCTGGTGCCATGCACAAATAACTTCCCCAACTAATTCAGGACTTTCTGATGATTTTCCGTTTATCAAAACTTTTTTGGGTAATCTAGCTTAAATCATGTCTTAATCCATCCACTAATTGATTATTGAAGAAAAATTCAGTCAAAACCGTAAAATTTGTGTAGGAGAAATCTGAAATTTGAAATCTGAAAATGTACCATTTACAACATTTTAATTCCGTCAAAGTTTTTTCCGGATATACAACTTACAGTACTTTGATAGCGACTTGTGTTACTCTCACCGACCTCACTGATTGGTCACTATTAAAACAAATTCAGCCTAAACCGCGAAATTTCGGTCAAGGAGACGGCAGAAAAGGTTTTCTTGTTGTTTACCGGACGGTGCCGGTAATGACCAATTTACAAAAAAAGTTATATACAAATAATATTATGATTAAAGAACTGCACCCCAATTTCAGTAGTCTGAAAACGTGGTAAATCAAAAAAGTTCGCTGCTTACATGTCAAAATAAATTTTATATCTCAAAGACTTTCATGGAAAATAAAATGTGAAATATTATCTCAGTGAATCTTCTAACATCACATTAACCGAGTCCTCAAAATATAAACAAAAAGTTTCTCATGAACAGTTTTCAAGATAATTTATTTGTCCACACTACACACTTTGCCTCCTTTGATGAAGTGTCTTTTGTTTGGCTCGTCTTTCGATCTCTTTTTGCGTTCTAAAACAAGTTGTTGCTGCTCGGCACGTTCCTCTGGAGACCTATCTTGACTGATAAAGACTTTACCAAAACGTTCAGAGCTACGGAGATGCCTTGCTCTAACAAAAAACTGCTGCACGATTGTGGAGCTCGTCAAAGTCACCTTAACAGGTCTTTCAGCCACTTGTTTCTTATCCTTGGGTTCATTCAAACCAATTCTGCTAGCTTCTATTTTTGGCTTTTCACCAAGTTCCAACAACACTTGACCGGCCTTGTCACATAACAGCTCACCTTTCTCTTCTTTAAGACCAAATATCATTAGATTCCGACTTCGGTCTCCTTCTGCCACAAAATACTTACTGACATTCTTTAAGATTTTTCTATCCGAATCCAACAAAGGACCTACTGCTGAGGTTTTTGATTCCTTTACCGCGGCGCTGTAAGTATTCAATTCTGATTTCACAGTATCCTCAACAGATGCTACAGTCTACACCCACAGATTTCAAGTCTTCAAGCTGTTTGTTTTTGGAAACTAGCAGCTCTTTCTGCAGATCAACTATTGTCCCTTGACTGTAAATTACATCGGAGTGCAATTTCTGATAATATTTCTCCAGCTGATCAATGTACAACGATTGTCTATTCATAATTTTTAACGCAGCATCAAGACTCCTAGACATGACTTGGTTGGGCGACATCTGTCCGACAGCGACATCTGTCCGACTCAGAAAATAGGTTATTCGGACAATAGTTTGTGCCGGATCCTACTGTACGATTTTCTTGAAACTTTCCATAAAGTATGGTGGTTATAGGACGGATAATCTGTGTAAGTTTGAGCGAGTTTCTATGTGCCAAATTTGAGATATCACCTTAAACACACAAAATATCTCCAATTCGGTGGTTTGCAGTGGTTCCAAGGCATATATCTGGAGATCCAACGATACGATTTTCTTGAAACTTTCTAGATAGTAAGATAGCTTTAAGACAAATAATTTGTGCAAGTTTGGGTGAATTTCTATGTGCCAAATTTGAGATATCACTTCAAACACAAGAAAATGGTGCTGTCGGACAGATGTCGCTGTTGGACAGATGTCGTGTTACCACATGACTTCCCTGGAGATTTCTCTTTTACCACTGAAACTTTGAGCTGTACACGCGTTAACATGATCTGCCTTAGCCAGCCTGAGATTACCCCGGATCCATTCAGCTCCATCATCTCTCACTTCATCAAGCTTATAAGCCACGTATTTCTCCAATTTATACATCACAAAACCACGCCATCGGTAAATCAAGCAGGTCTTGTCAACGTAGTGATAAGTAACAGATAAGCGAGCAACAACGTATTGAAAAGTGTAATTACTGAACTGAAAAGTGTAACTACTGAACTGAAAAATCTTACAAAATCTCTTTTTCTATTCTGATCATTTTCCGTTAATCAAAGTTTTTTTTGAGAATAGAACTTTCAGAATCTCGATCGTGTCTTGTGCTATCCTCGGTGACCTTGCTCAATGGTCATTCAAGAAAAATTAAGTCAAAACATTGAAATTTGGGTCATGTAAAGCTGAAATCTGAAAATGTCCCACCGGTATATTCAGCCTCCAGTTCATATATCGTGACTTTTGTCACTCACACTGAAATTTTGGTCAAGGAACCGGCAGAAAGCTCTTGGGGGAATGCACATTATACAAAGTTTCGCGTGATCTGGTTCTTAAATAGCATGTAAAGCGTCTAAGATGCCCCATTAGGAGCCTTTTATGCACGTATTATGTCGTAATCTTTATAATGACACGATATTTTGTTATATTCAGCTGGCAATTCTTGAGGGGTATTGCGTATTAATTCTTGATACACATGGTACTCTTGATACACGTATATTATTCGCGGCTACAAACTAAACCGACATATTTGTAGATTATTTTAATCGGTCAAAATGATCACCTTCTCTTTAAGATTGTTACGTTAAGAGTTAAGAGTTAAAAGTAACTAATAAGGGGCAAACTGAAATAATATATATTATTGCTATTTTATTCTGAACTTAGTGTACATTCAAAGTGATTAAGTGATAAGGCTCATAGAACAAGAACGTCCATACTAAATTTGACTTCATTAACTAGATAGCATTTAAAATCTCAAACGATAGGCTTCCATCAATATTTGACATCCGTTATGGCCTTCTAACTCTTTTAACTTGATTCCGACGCGGGAAATCTTTAGAGCTACAGATTCTGAAATGTCTTTATACAATATACATGGCCTGTCTCACAATCTAGTATCCACAGAACTTTTATTATATTTAAATTCATTTTAAATGTGATGGATCTATTGCACAGTCATTTTTTCGTGTAATGAATGTTTTATTTTTGTTGGTCGATAGAATACATTTTTTGGAACACATTAAAAACATTTACTAAAATGCAATGATCAAACCAAATAAACAAATTTTAATTATATTTTTCTTCTTTTCGTCTTTCTTTAGACGCAGAACCAGTCGACTGCGATTTCAACAGCCCAAACCATGGTTTCGGGTAACCTTAGAGAGGTGAGAAGTTCAGGGATACCAGCATTGCAAACCTTGGACTGTCCTAGGGTATAGAACTGCTCCAATACGCCCATGATAGTATCAATGAATCCTTGCAGAGCAGCGGTGTGCTTCACCATGAGAGCGGAGCTAAGAGCTGCACGACCACAGATCATTTCCTGGGCAATCTCAACAGCACCATCAAAGTCATCAGGTACTCCAAGAATGTTCATCAGTGTTTGGAGACCTGAGCTGCAGACAAACGCCTTCAAGTAGGGCCTCAGTCTTTCGTAGATATCTTTGACAGTGTCTTTGAAGGCTCCAACCGCTTGCTGATACATCACTGGGGTTATCTTGATATCTCTCTTCTTAACAGAGAAGATTCCACAGATGGCACTCTGTGCCATTTCGACAGCTCCATCTAAAGCCTCAGGGAAACCAAGAATATCGAGTAGATCCTGAAGTTTGGTGGTGCACAACTTGTCGTGGCTCCAAGACTTGAGAGTGTCCCAGATGTCTCCGAACACGCTTCCGTAAGCTTGGAGGGCTGCTGAGTGGACGTCTCTTTTGACCAGGGCATCAGATTCTCCACAGAATTTGTTCTGGACGTACGCTACGGCACTGTCCAGTCTGTCGTCAACTCCAAGGATGTCCATGAGCTCTTGAATCTTGGCACCGCAGACAAATTTTGTTCCACATTCTTTCAGCTGGTTGTAGATCCTCTTGACTGTGTCAATGAAGGAATCTTCCAAGATAAAGTCGACTTCTGAGCTTCTTTTTTTAACAGAGAAGAATCCACAAATTTTATTCTGTGCCATTTCGACGGCCCCATCTAAAGCATTAGGGAAACCAAGAATATCGAGAAGATCCTGAAGTTTGGTGGTGCACAGCTTGTCATGACTGTAGGACTTGATCTTTTCCCAGACATCGCTCCAGACTACGGCGTAAGCTTCGAGGGCTTCCAGATGAGAACTGCTTTGAAGACCTTCAGATTCAGAGCACAGTTTGTTTTGTACATACTTGACGGCAGGGGCAAGTCGTTCGTCCAGTCCTAGGATTTCAAGAAGAACGTTGAGCTTTGCACTGCAGACGAAATCTTTACCCTTTCCTTTCAGTTCGCTGTAGATCCTCTTGATGGCATCCAAGAAAGTTTCCTCCAAGATCAGGTCGACTTCTGAGCTTCTCTTTACCACATCAGAACTTCCGCAAATCCATCCTTGAACCATCTTTACGGCTCCATCAAGTCTGTCATCGACTCCAAAGAGGTCCAGAAGATCATGAAGACTGGATCCACAGATGAGGTCTTTTCCGTAGGCTTTAGCTAGAGCGTAGATCCTCTTAACTTCATCAGTGAAGCCCTGGAGAGCAGCATCATGAAGGTGAGGGTTGAACATTAGGGCTTCAGGCTCGCCACAAAGCCATTGCTGGGCAAGTTCCACAGCACCATCAAGTTTTTCAGGGAGTCCTAAAATGTCAAGTAGTTCCTGGAGCTTGGCACTGCAGACAAAGTCAGAGCCTCTTTCCACAAACTGGTCGTAGATCTTCCTAACAGTAGCGAGGAAGTCAGCGATTGACTCGAGCTCCTGCTGGTGAGTCAGAGAGACAGGTGTAGCCGTGGAGACGGCAAAGAGTGCCAAAAGAGTCAGGAACAGCTTCATCTCTAAAGTTGTTGTTCAGTACTGGTTGAAAGTGTGATGAGCAGAGCAGTTTGCTGGTGGCTTATATAATTCTCACTTCTTGTAACAGCTGTTTTTCCCGCACGGTTAATTAGGGGGTTAAACAATCAAACTTATCAATTATCAGCTCTTCTCTCGGACGGTGTCACAAATGCTGGCTCAGTCGCTTTGTTGTACAGTTTTAGGTGCACCGGTCTGATGGAGGAGGACTAAGTTGTGCTTTGTTCAGGAACAAATGTCCGTTGAGAATCGTTGGAGTACATTGTTTAAAATCACTTGCTCCATAGTCTCTATTCTTTTCCTTCCACAACGTAGCGACCAGAGTTAAATTGATCGGCCGAGTTTATGGCAATCTAAAGATCATTACAATCAAATACACAGATTTTCAAACATTAGGAAGATAAAGTGCAGCACAGATTAGCGGTGCAACTATATTTCAAATAATCCATGGTACTAACACAACACAAAATGATTTAGATGCCTTTCTGTGCTATTTATAGAAAGTGATCTCCATTCCTATTTGACAGTGATTGAAATTATGGTTGTACAGTAAAACCCCGATTCACCGCACGATTTGGGGAAAGAAAATAGTACTTTTGGCCCACCCTGTATGTCAAACTGGGGTTATGGTTTTAATCACAGCCGAACCACGGTTTTCCCTCAGCACAGTTCTGGTTGCTAATTTAGGGTTATTGTTGACTAGCATTAAGATAAAAAATAGATAAATGAACTAACAAGCCTGACTAATGACTAGGAAGAGTCTGTACGCAGGTTGGAAATTGTTGATTTATATAATACTACTTGAACAATACTAATTTAACATTTTCCCACCACCCTCAGGGCGATGGATAAGTTCAGTAGCTGGGCTGATAGAAGCTTGAACGGGGAGAAGTTGCTAATGTATACTCTGTGGAAAGATCTCAAGTCTTACTTCGAGATCAACAAACAGAGTAACAAGCACCTGAGAAGTTTGCAAGCTGAGCATATCCACAGGACTCATTTCCTGATGAAAGACAAAAAGTGGGTTTTCAGCACAGTCCGTACTTTTGATTCTTGTTGATTAAAAACAGACTTTTCCAATTTCTTAAGCATACTCTTACTATTACACATACTCTATAAATTTTAAAAAGTATTCCGAGCTAAATTGTACATGTCAGTATTGCCAGGCCCTACAATTTCCCTCAAGACCTTTCCTCGAGGATGAGTCGAGAGCAGACTGCTCGGCCCACATCTCCTCTTCTAACCAAGACGATGAGTTTCTGTGGGGGAACCGTCGAGAAAGTCTTTGAAGAGTTTGTCCAGGTTTAAATTTTACTTATACAATAAAATATAGCCTTAAATCTTTGTTTTATACCGCTTTACATGTAACTTTCAACAAATGTAACTTTTAACCAATGTTACTTTTAACCAATGTAACTTTTAACTAATCTAAAGTTTTATCTTGCAGACGTTGCCGCTGGCTCAAGCAGCTCTGAGAAGAAGGAACACCTCAGATGATATGAACTCAAGTATCAGTCAGCAATCATTTGCTATTGGTGGTGGTGGTAGACGACGAGGACGTGGAACTAAGAGCAAAAAGGTAAGAGTTAGATGTCAGATCTATTACTCTATTAGCACTTAAAGAGGTAAATTAGAGGTAAATTACAAATGAGGTGCAAAGTCATCAAATTAACCACTTTTAGAGTATAAGAGATATAGAGCTAATAGCCTGGCAGATTGGCTGAGTTTATTTATTAGATCTTTTTGCTGAGCGAGCCTGAGGCTCACCCAATGTAACAATCAACCTAATATCGTAGTAGTAGCTGTTTCTCCCCACTGATCGGACATTTAAAATGTTTGCGGTCATATTTACTGAGATTTGTGCGATTAACCTAATTAAATAATCAGTAATTTCATTGGTCAGTTTGTTTTTCCAACTCAGTGTTAAGTTAAAAGAATTAGCAGGAAGCATACCACTTTGTTCTGATTAGCCGGTGATTTTTAAAGCCAATATCCTTCAATTGTGATCACGCACAAATATTGATTTTTTACGAGCTCAGTAAGTCTTTGCCTATTAAAGGAAAATATTGATCAGTACTTTTTGCCACCACCAGCTTCTTTAAACAGGTGTTTTAACTTAAACAATTCTTAATTTTTCTAGCGATTTCATTATCAGACGGGTGCACTACGGCTGACTTGCCACAATTCACATGTAGTTTCCAAATGTAGTTTAAAATTTCTACTACCCACTGTATCACTTTGCCGCATGTTAAGACCTTTTCTCGTGGTAGTATGGCACGCGCGATCGCCGAACGTATTGTTATTGACTGAAATCCTTGACCAAGCGCCCAGTAAGATGTAAATTTTAGCCGCGCATAAGGCGCGCGCGACAAGGTGTGCCAGTTTATTCGGTCCCCTGGAGATTTTCACAAGCATAATCTGATAAACATTTCTGAAAACTAATGAAATGTTCTACAAGTAGTGATGTACAGCAAACTGTAGTGAGAGGAAAAATAACTTAACAGAGTGTTTTTTTCGACAACACCTTCAAAACGCTCTCAAAGATGCGGATGCCTTCTTATTCTATCTTATCTATTCTATTCCCAGTGGCGTTACCATTTGGGCATTTGGCGCCCCCGCTGAAATTTTGGGCACCTATTTCTTAAAGGTCAGGAAGGGTAAAGGTTAGTGTTAGGGTTCGGTTATATTTCGGACAAGAGTCGCCCAATTGTCCGCAGTTAGCATTATTCGAGGTTTTTGTACTCCTAAAATAACTTTATGAGGTCAAATTGACTGTTTTAGCTAAAATTTTTTAGTTGCCATACTTGCCCACAGCTTTTACGTAGACTTTATGTTCATAAACTTTCTAAAAATTAGAAACTTTTCTCAAAATATAAAAATTACTCCATCAGAGGTTACCGTGATTGAGTCTACTCCGTCATTTTTAATAACTTGTCTTCTTAAACCTGTCTAAGTCTCACTAGAGTCTGTCATAGTACCTTTACTCCCATAACCACTTATCAGAGAATCACAACGGAATCAAGATTTTGTTCGGAAACGTTAACATTTACTGGAAGCAGACTATAAATCTTTGTGCTTTAGATTCCCGTCAAGGGAAACAAGGAAACAAACTCTGATACTCTTTGCTTTAACTCTTTAAGTCATCAGTTTTCTCGAACATCTCTTTTTCAGGATTGCTTCCAACTCCTTAAGTAGATTGGATGCTTGCTTCTGATGCAATCTCAATGCCTGTGTCGAGGTGTTGTGGTAAACTTAAAATATAATACAATGTAGTACTACGGCTACGGACTACCCTGGTTTCTCCTCATCCTTAACTTAAAACCTTTGCATTAATGAAATGAGCGATAGCTTGAGGGTCTTCTTCTTTGAAGCCACGGGAGGTCTAAGCAGGTGATCCAAGCCGCGTTTCTGCTGTGATACCACGTGGTAGGAGATCTAGACAATGTGGTTGTCAGTCCCACCAGTCACCGCTTAGTAACCTAGGTTCTGTAGAGTTTCAGTCAGGGCTCTATAATGCATTTTCCCACTTCTGGGAATGCCAGAATTAGGTGCAAGTTAAGAAAACTCGAGTCGATTCTAAGACGCTAGAACCATTAGAATAGGTGGTCAAATTCTAAACCTTATTTTGGTATTCTCTGAATTAATCTTAGTGTTAGCCTCTTTTAGGGCAGTTGCTATAGCTGCAGTTGTGGTGCGGTGCTCCCTGCAGTAGTGGTTATGCAATTAGTTGTCGCATATTATATTTGATCTAATCTATGATATAGTTAACTTACCCATTTCCATGCATAGTTGATCAGTCTTATGGTATTTGTAGAACTGTAGAAGTAATATATTGATGTAAATCTGTAACGGGAATTGTGCAAGAATTAAGATGAGAAATTAGAACGAGAACGGGAGCGTGTCCAGTGAACCTACAGTTCACATATCCAGTTAACCTGCAGTTCACATATACAGTGAACCTACAGTTCACATATACAGTTAACCTGCAGTTCATATATCCAGTTAACCTGCAGTTCACATATACAGTTAACCTGCAGTTCACATATACAGTTAACCTGCAGTTCACATATCCAGTTAACCTGCAGTTCACATATACAGTTAACCTGCAGTTTACATATCCAGTTAACCTGTAGTTCACATATCCAGTTAACCTGCAGTTCAAATATACAGTGAACCTGCAGTTCACATATACAGTTAACCTGCAGTTCACATATACAGTGAACCTGCAGTTCACATATCCAGTTAACCTGCAGTTCACATATACAGTTAACCTGCGGTTCACATGTAACTATGTATCCTGCAGCCTGCCGACAATCTTGTCATTAAAGTTGGTCGGTAAATTATTTTCAATGTGCAACCGCAACATGCATGCCGAAAGTTGCCATCGGCACCAAGAAAACTGGCTCAAATTATCAAAGTATTAAAGTAACTAAATTCCAAAATACTGCATAGTTTGTGCAAATTCACTCCTGTTTAAAACTCTAATTCTGATTTGGTCGTCGACCGGATTACAATAGGTCAGAAATAGTGCTAATGTATTTGGTATTCTCTAAATTCCTCAGAGTTAGCTATAGCTGGAGGAATTTAGGTGAAAAATTGGAAGAACGGGAATGGGAATAGGAATAGTGAGTGAGAATAACCGGGGAGAATAGGATATCAGAATATTGACCGATGGCGATAGACTGAATTTTATAGAAAATAGTACTAGAAATCCGTGTCTATTGAAAGTTTGTTGAAACTTGTACCAGGTCTGATGACACCTAACAACCCTACTACAGGTACCGGGACGAGCGACCCCCACTAAAGAGCTCTACCACCGTCTCCTGAACCTACTGATGAGTGTGACAGGGACGTGGCCAGAAGAGCTGCTCTTATTTGAGAAGTACCTGGCTGAACATGGGCCTGATGATGGTTATCCGCTCATTGTTAACGACCTTCATTTCTGGGTCGAGGTAAGATGGGGTGAGGTAATGCGTTTGATAATAAACGTAAGTTTTATTTCTCGTTGTTAATAAAATATTCGCTGCACATAATGTTCGTGAAGCCTCAAAATATTATATATCCACAGGTGCAGAGATACAAGGACATGCACCACACAGATACGGACCACGACTTCATCTTCAGGAAGTTGGAAGCTATTATCGACTGTTACTTGGACCCTCAGATTCCTACAGAGCCTCCACCGGAGAAGGTACTATTCAAGAATTTGCATATTATGGAATGTATTCAAGTTAATTGTTTTTATAGTAGATAAATGGAATATGCGTAAATTTAGCAGTGCATTTTAATTCAAACGAATTTTAAAACTCATATCCGTTTATACAATATGATGCAAGTTCTAACTGAAACCCCTTTTCCCTCAGCCAGTGAACCTGTCCCCTACAGCGTCCCCCACCCCCTCAATGGTATCTAAAGGACAGTCCAGTAACCCTGAAAGTCCTGTACAGAGTAAGATAGACATCACCAGCACCACTGAGAAACAAAAGAAACTGCCTTGGGCCCAGCGCAAACAGGTTAGAACTTCATTCAATTGAGCTGTTCTCTGCTTCCAGCTGCTGGACTTTTATAGAACAACAATTAGAATAGCTGGCTGGAATTTGTGAAAATATTGGATATAAGGGCATGCTCTATTCACTATAAACTTAAAAAAGAAGTGGCAGAAGTGCACTTTTTGGGAGCGCTGACGTTGACGTTGCAGCAACTACAGGTAGATCTAACGGTGGATATCGGACAGAAGATCTCCCACCGTCTCTCCACTCCAGGTGGTCACATGGATAAGGATATGAGTCACTACGATGAGGCTCAGAAGATGGTGCTTAAGGAACTTGTTCCTTTCTATGCCGGGTAAGTTTTATTTTTCGGACATATTTTGGGTATAGTAAGCAACCCCACATTCTTATGTTGTTCTTCTTTTAAGCTGGGTTTGGAAAGAGATTAATATTTATTCAGTTAGTTTATGAATGGTTTAAGCGGAGGCTTGAAGCCACACTTCATTGACTGATTAGAACTTTCCTTATCTGATTTTTCATAATCAGTAATCAAATTGTTCTCAAACGGAGCATGAATGAAGCTGCCGTCCGACCCCATTCTAAATTAAAACATTCCTTTATCCCCGATTTCAAGCTCAGCTAGTTGATAACAGTTAATACCATCACAACCATGATGGTTCACCCAGTCATGCCTTCCTTTCCCACTGATAAATATTGTTATCAGGTTGTATCACGTTTCTTTGGTTTATTATACAATTAAGATATCCCGAACTTGAAGTTTACTTCAGCTCACAAACACCTCACTTTTCAACTTCGCAGCTAATCAATGTTCCGGTTCAGGTTTGCCAATCAACAAGATAACAAATCTTCAAGGCTGAGCCAGTGTAAAGTGTGCACCAAACCCATACAGCCCCTCCAGCCGCCTGTCCTCAAACAAGTCCAGTGCCACACAGGTAAAATATCTCTTTATATGGTAATGTTACCATTGTAACACTACCATATAAGGTAGTGTAACACAGGTAACACTCCAATACTGATCTAACAGTGAACTTGCTTCTCTCTAAATCGGGCACGTGCTGGTGAAAAGATTATATTAGATTCAATTTGGATCGTGCCGGTTTTAAGAATATGTTATTGACTTTACCCAATTTTCACACATTCCCTATACTAGCCCACTGATTATCAATTATCGTGATTTCCACACACCTTGATTCTAATTAACCCCGCACCCTCCTCAGTCAATAGAAAGTGGGTTGGGTCACCTAGCAGCGATACAGTGCTAGTGTTCCCTCTTCCAACAGCAGCATCCGCTAACAAAACCAAACACCTCCTCTCACACAAGGAACACTTCACCTTCACTTTGGAGCATGGCGTCACTTGGACTAAGGTCTGTTTTTACTTAAAGTTTTTATATTATTTTATTCTACATAATTTACTGTTTTGCTCAAATTATATGGTCTTGTCAGTTAAGGAAAATCACCGCCATTTCATAGGTGAGGGCCTCTCAAAATTCTATAGAACCGAAAAAAACTTCGGAGCCCAAAAATTCAGACTGGGAAAATCGCCATTTTGGTCTGTAGCTATTGCGAGTCCATCGTATTTTCTAAAAGTCTCTAAGACCATTCTAGCCCCAAATACCGCATACCGCCCGTTTTCGCACTAACACCCGAAATTTCTTTTTGAGTTATTGACAAAAACTGATTTCCGGGCCGGAAATCAGTTTTTGTCAATAACTCAAAAAGTTTAACTATACATAAGTATAAGAATATTACACAAAATTGGAAATTTTTCTTTAAAATTCTAAGAGTCCCCAAAAAATATCAGCCCTTTACTATGAAATGCAGGTAATTAGGTCATATTGTCCATAACTGACCAGACTAATAAGTATGTTTTACTTTAAACATGGATTAAGGCAAGCCTGAGTCCTGACAGGTTAACCCAGGCCATGGAGTCAGCTAGACCAAGGTTAACTGCTCAAGCTGTGGGTAGATGATGTGAACTAAATGTTAACTCCCTTCTGTCGTTACAAAATAACGGGTTGTTCCCTTTATTGCGACATGTTCGTAATAATAGAATTTTACTTTCGTAAATAAAATTGTACAGAAAAATTAGGAAAGTTAGAATGTTAAAACGGTGAGCCTCACAACTGCAGCCATGTTAATAGTTAGGCCACAAAATACCTATTCCGCTTGAAGTGTTTCACGTGTCATTTATCGTTCAGCTTTATATAGCAGATAACTTGGTTTTCATTTAGCTTTATAACTTGGTTTTCATTTAGCTTTAAAACTTTGTTATCATTCAACTTTACAACTTGGTATTAAATCTAACTTAGTTACTGATTATTAAACAACTCAATGATCTAACTTATTACATCCATATATTTTATACTAAACTGAGTTATTTTAATAAAGTTTATAAATATAAACCTGCAGCACGTGGACGATGACATGATATCAGCGGCTAACAGTGAAGACGGAATGCCAGCAGGCAGATCTGACCCCTCCAAGGTACGGGCTCGTTAACTCCGTTCCCATGGTAACGGTACTCGATCACGTGACTACTCACTACGGTCAGGAACGTAGCCAGGGAGTCATTCTAGGGATTCTTTAGTCCCCCTCTTGAAAAGTCAAACATAGAATTTTCGAACTTTGAATTTCCTTTTGACTAGATTTTATCAATAATAGCATATCTTACAAAAATTCTCTCGAAGCTCAGAACGCATTTTTCCAGATCAATCCCTTGCACTTATCAGTTTCTAAGGCACTTCACCCTGCTGGCATTTGAAAACTTGGAGCTATTTTCTCATATTCTCATGATTCTTATATAATAATATTAGCACTAACACCAGCTTAATATATAGTATATAATTTCTTTTTTAAGAACTAATTTATGCAACAGATATTCTGAGCTATAAATTGTCGTACGTATGTATATTTTTCAACGCCCCTTGACCTGAAATGGCCAGTGTGATTTCAATTCACATATTTATTTCATTCCCGAAGAAAATTTTCTGATAAATTTTCCGCTCGCAATTGAATCCCCCTGTGATAAATTCTAGCTACGGTCCTGATTACGATAACACGTGATTTAGTTACCTGTTTGTCGATCACGTACAGACATTTGAGAACATTCTATCGGCGTTTTGTCAACGGTTCCATGCTAAATGAGTATATTGTTGAAAGTCAGAATACTCGATTCAAGCTTTTGAAAGCTCTGAAAAATGTGTTGACAGTTAAAAGTATTTAAAATAAGAGTTGTTTAAAAATATTAAAATTAGAATTGCCAAAAGCTAAACGTCCAATTCAAACTTTATAGATTTCTATTTTCTTTTAAAGTCGAGCGGTTTGAATTTTTAAAAGCTCGTTGCTCAGTTATTTAATTTGTACATAGATATTGTGTGTGATTTTTAATGAATATGTGAATAGCGTGTAAGAAATTCTTATCAGATTGTTTAGAATGTAGTTTAACTTATTTCTGATAAGGCGAACACTTAAACCGATTTTTATCCATTTACTGATATTTCACTGCGCGCTTTTAAAGATTAAATTTTGTCCCATTTGTGATAAGAGAGCATCGCCTGCATGACAATGCACTTAACACTTCATTTTCTTTCATTCGTTAATTCTATTGGACGATTTACTCTAAAGTCTAACTAACTCATTGAAACTTATCATTAACCACTCTCATTCAGTAGCTAGCTATGATCCCAGGAGAGGGGGGTTGTTGCATATTGTGTTGCAATGCTCTGTGTATCAAGGTAATCTAGCAGCCTATAGTGGTAAGTGTTACAGTGTTATACCTAGTCTCACCTTGCTTTACGCTACTCGCTCTATACTAGTGAGATGGCACATTTCGTCTAAGCTGCTCCGATTATTTTATTTTTAAATATTTCGCAATATTTAATTCGACTTTAAAATGTGCATTATGCAATGATGCCGGTTTGAAAGAACGGTTACCTAGAGCCCCATAGAAAATAATACCGTCTAAATTAGATTTTCTTATCTTAATCGAGTTTTTTAAATTAGGAATAAGGATTTTAACATCTGGCTTGTTTAAACATGATTAATTACAGTCCATTTTTATACACATTTTATTTCAATTCAGTAACAATGCGTAAGATAAAGCAGTCTAGATTTGGAAGCAATTAGCGTTCTTATTACTTAATGAAAACTTGGACCTGTTAGCACTAGGAAAAATGTTTCCACTTTTTCAACAGTGCAGCTTAAGTCTACCTGGTGATGCTATAGGACTTCCAAGATTTGTATGAAAACATACAACATTTCTAATTCCACTATTGTAAAACAAAATTTATCGCTGAAGATTGGGTCTTTGGTCCTGCTGACTTTAAAATGGAGGGTAAATTGTTTTACCACAATACAGGATTTCTCTGCCATTTTATGCATGTTGAAGACAGGTATGATCGCTAAGTCTTTAATAATACCGTTTGATCTTTGGGCCTGGTAATTTTAAAATGGTGGGGGGGGGCCAACCATATTAAAGTATATTAAAGTATATCCCCGGGTCAAAATCGGAAAAAATCCTACATTTTAATATACTTTAATATACCTACAATTAGTAGATTAGAAGATAAGCCAATTACTGGTCCCCTGAACTCATACTTCATATATTTTGGCTCATAAATTAGTCAAGTATCAATATCTTTGAACAAGACTAACCTTACATGAAAGGTAAATCTAATCTATACATTAAATAAAACAAAATTTTTCACATAATTTTTTATTATGTAGGTATATTAAAGTATATTAAAGTATATTAAAGTATATCCCGGATCGAAATTGGAAAAAAAACCTACATTTTAATATACTTTAATATACCTACAATTAGTAGATTAGAAGATAAGCCAGTTGCTAGTCCTCTGAACTCATAATTCATATATTTTGGCTCATAAATTGGTCAAGTATATGGTAAGTAACATGGATTCAAAATTTTAATGGAGAAAATGTAGGTATATTAAAGTATATTAAAGTACATTAAAGTATATTAAAGTATATTAAAGTATATTAAAGTATATTAAAGTATATTAAAGTATATTAAAGTATATCCCCGGGTCAAAATTGGAAAAAATCCTACATTTTAATATACTTTAATATGGTTGGCCCCCCCCCCCCCCCCCCCCCCAATGGTGGGTAAATTGTTTTACCGAAATAATTTTGACAGGAAACCAGTAAAGTATGTTAAAGACATATAGGTATACACAACATCTATCCCGGTGTTACATTTTACCATCGAGCCCGGCTTTAACTGTCTAAATACTTGAACTTTGAGTGCTGAGCACGAGATTCTCTCTCCCGCCAAGCTGTGTTCCTTCCCCCTGACTGGAGGTCATACATTGACGTTTCTCTAAGAGCTGCAAGTTCTGAGGAATTGAGCTCAAGGTGACGTACAGCTTGTCAGATTTAACGGAAATACTTCCGACTCTCTCAACCCCTTCACCACCAGATTAGGAGTTGGCCGCGAAATAAACGTCCGTAATTCTATTCCTAGCTCCTTGACATAGCGTGTTAATTATTAATAATACCAGTAATTCTCCTTGACATATTATGTTAATTATTACTAATAGTACTTGTAATTATTACTAATACCACTTGACAGCCCACGCCCAGATGAGCACCAAAGTCTAAAAGTTAAGTACTAAACAAACCCGCCAAGTACTTTAGTCGCTAACACCAATCGTGTGGTAGGTGTCAGAGTAGGACTGATATTTACTCTTGAACTATCTTTGTTGTACAGCCGAACTCTCAAGTTGATTTCCTTATTTTTTGTCTGATGAAATCTATCCTGGGACAAAATTTGTTAGGGACCACCGCTTTAAAACTGTGTGCTCTATCTCTGAATTATAGTATCTTTTCAGGAGTTGTGCCTGCCTGAAATATCTAATAAGGTAAATTAGCATATTGTTATATAACGCGTTTTGTAAGGAGTCAAACATTGTAGGAAGTAGGTTAGTAGGAAGTATCTGCGTATGATCGTTTATCGATGTCATTTTTAACACAGCGATGAATCAAAAATGAATCGTTCTTAAGAAGGCTTCTATATTGCCAATGGTTTGCATCTACATCTTTTATTATGAAGCTTGCTAAGAGCCATGTGAAAGCTATTTTATGGTCTTGGCCAACAGAACAGCTAGTACACCTTACCAACTGAATGGTAAGGCAAGAAAAGATATTGTTAAACATTTAGGGAAAATAACAAGATGACGGTTTTCAGGGTACATGTTTAATGCAAACTATCACTGTTTTGGGGGAATTTTGTTTAAAATTATGTAACACTCTAATTTGTAGGCAAATACGACTGAAAACTTTACCTACGATAGCTTTCGGTCATAACTACTATTTACAGACTAAAGAGTTAGAATAAACTTCAAAGACTACAGGACTTGACGTGGGCCTTTGATGCATGACAACGGCCTCCTTTCGGGTTGGGTCTTTTGCGGGGTACCCTAGAACCTAGTTTTTGTGATTTCAAAGTGAAAAAAGTGTAAAAAAGTTTCAACTCGTTAGTAATAAGATAACGGTAATCTTACTGTAGTGCGACACGTACTGTAATGCGACACGTACTCTAGTGCGAAGTCCGACAAAAACACCCTCTGTCGCACTAGGGTACGTGTCGCACTACCATCCAGGTAGCGTACTCTACTGCGACAAAATATCCTGACTTATTTCCAAGCTTAGGTCACATCCTATCCTTCTTATGGACCATTAAGTGATTCGTCGGGTTGGTTCACGTCACTTATTTCGAATTGATCTTGCGAATACGATTCGTCGGTTCACATCACGTGTTTCGAAGTGATCCGCTGATCACAATTCCTTCGGGTCAGTTCAAGCCACGTATGCAGTGTGTGATCCACCGGGTAACTCTTAAGCAGCATATGATCCTCATTCCTATCACACGTATCGTATGAAGGTATATCTCCGATTTGGATAACAAGTTCATATTCTTGGGCCATATATAAAGTCACGATGATTCTACCAAAGCATCGAACAACATCAACATGTATTCTTCAATCACCTCCATTCCTGGACGCACTACTGGTTCAAGAAACGTTATCCACGACGGATACCGCTACTGCCTGGATAATTAGAAGCGCGACGACAGGACCTACTGGTGATCCACTGGGAAGATCTGCTCCGGACGTCTCAGTCTGATGAACGACACTACTGTGACCAGTACGAAGACTTATTCCCACCCTCCTACTCCTGCAGCAAACTCTGTCCACACAGCAAAGCAGCATATGAAACGGAAAGCTTCCGATACTGACCTCCCTACGAAACACCTAATTGCTGATGCTGTTGGACATTATGAAGCCCTCTTGGATGAGCTCCTTGCTTTTGGAGTCGACCCTCAATCTGTCATGAGTGACTACGAGAGAGCCCTGATAAACGCTGTGGAGACAACCTGTATACTACCAAGAGAGGATGCTTCTTCCACCACAAGCAAGCACTTTGGAGGAAGATGCAGCAACATGACCTAGTCCCGGAATACAACGCAGAGAACTCAGCAGTACGGAAGTACTTTAAGATGATCGGTGCTATTGCCTTCGTGGACCTAATCTTCGTGGACCTAATCTTCGTGGATTGTAATCTTTGATTTTATATTTAACCCCATATTTACTCATACACGACTACACTCTTGTCATTAAAACTTAAAAATGGAAAGTCAAATTTTTATTGCGTAAAGTGTTTTATCGCACTTTAGTTCGTGTCGCACTACAGTCCAGGTAGCGCACTGTAGTGCGACAGTGTCGGCCTTGAAATTTCTCTGTCGCACTAGGGTACGTGTCGCACTACGATCCAGGTAGCGTACTCTACTGCGACAGTGTCGATCTTGGAGGTTTCGCACTAGGGTACATGTCGCACTAGAGTACGTGTCGCACTACAGTACGTGAACCTAAGATAACCTTGAACTGATGTTACGGCTAATTAGAAGTCGGGTGTAATCGTGATATGAACTGGGACAGTTTTACTTGAAGACCCAGAATAGTTTATACAGCATTGTTTACTATTAACAATTTAGCGATGCCCACTATTTCTGTTTAAAGTCACTCCCAGAATCGCTAGTGCCGCACACAAAGGTAGCAGTCATTCTGATGCTGAGAAACTATGATACCTCCTACTTTCCTACGTTCCTACCTTTGACAAAATTAATACAAACCCCTAAATAATCAATTGTCAGTTCTTACGGATTTTGTCATTTCTTACGAATTTTGTCATTTCTTACGAATTTTGAGAACATTCCAGCAGCCCACACTAATAATAATTTGATATTGTTAGTAGTGTGTTTTAGTGCTAGTTCTCTGGTGAGCTGACTTGTGGATCCTCTCCAGAATAAATGCAAAACGAGAAAAGGAGGGCAGAACGGACTGTCCTGGTATCTAGCTCCACGTTTTGTAGCTCCCGACTCAGCCATCTGCTCTGATGAGGAGTGATCTTTGACGTCCTCTTCTTTTATCACGGGTATTGTGTGTTGTTGGTACAGTAAAACTCCGATA